CGGAGTCGGAGTCGATTTTGGAAACCGAGACCGGAGTCGGAGTCACCGAAAATCTGCCGCCTCCTCGGCCCTGCCAGGTCTGCGGAGCCGGAGTCGGAGTCAGTCCTAAAAAATTCATCGACTCCGCAGCCCTGTCAATAGAAGTTAATTACGGCGTAGAAGGGATATAAGGCTGCCCAGCAAAAAAAAAAAAACAGACCGCAGGTCAATCAGCCCAGTGATTGCTTTTATATAAACCTCTCAAACAGGGCTGCGGAGTCGATGGATTTTCGGCGACTCCGACTCCGACTCCGACTCCGGCTTTCAAAAACCAGCTCCGACTCCGACTCCGACTCCGGGCAGAATTGTCGACTCCGACCGACTCCAACTCCCGACTCCGACTCCGCAGACCTAGCAGGGCTGCGGAGTCGACAGATTTTCGGTGACTCCGACTCCGACTCCGGCTCGGGTTTCTAAAATCGACTCCGACTCCGACTCCGACTCCGGTCACAACCGTCGACTCCGACCGACTCCGACTCCGACTCCGACTCCGACTCCGCAGCCCTGCTCTCAAAATCGTTACAGGTCGGGCCGCTCATACTAAGATTTTTTTTCCGTTTTAGTGAAAATGCTTTGCTTCGCCCGTTCGCTCATAATCCGCAGACACCACCCCAAAAACACCAACCGCTGGCCGTACCGCCGGCGCCCCACACACCCTGTCGACCCCGAGGGCACGCCGTGACCCGTCTCGGGTCGACTGGGGTAGGGGATGGGGAGAGGTCCGAAGTCCAGCTGTGGTCCGCAGCTCAGGTGACCATCATAGTGCCTCGGCGGCCAGTTTCTGTGAACTTTGACCTACCGCTGGATACCCGAGGGCTCCCCTCCCCTATCAGCCGTAGTGAATAGCCTCTACCCAGGCAGTGCGAGCATGGGTGGAGAATGTTTGAAAAAGTTACCCCGGCCGGCGACCGATAGTCGCGGGAAGACGATATACTCACGTTGTTCTCAACGGTCATCATCAAACCCCTATTCTGACGCATGGAATAGGATGCTGTGTTTGCTCAAGGATGAGCGTTGTATCCGACACCGTATTATTCATAAAATTTTTGGAATGATCGAAAAGGCAATTTCCTTTTAAATTATTATTTCTTTTTACTTAAACTTCCAATTTCACACCGAACCCAAACCAAACCATATGCCATTTTGAGTACCTAAATGTTGCGTTTTCAGCTTTTTATTGTTCGGCAATTATTGCACCTCTTTACGCATCATTTGAATTTTGAAGACACATATGTACATCGGACGACCAACAACGGGTGCATGGGAGGGGAAGGAGGCGGGCAAAATGAGGGGCGCGGGAACTACTTTCCGACTGGGGGGCACACCATAATAGATATTAACCTAGGGTACCCCCAAATCTAGTTTTCTCACCGGTTTTAGGCCACTTATTTTTCACCCCTCGGCTTTTTCAACAAAAAAAGAAAACATTTGCAAAAAAATGTGGTATTCCGTCTCAAAGCTGTGGGGGCACCGCCCCCACGGCCCCAGAGTTGGGGGGGGGGGGGCAAGCTGCCCCCACTGCCCCCCCGGCTCCCGCGCCTATGCAAAATTTGAATTGAGAATGTGGAATGTGAGATACCTTATAGCGCGACGGAAGGAATGCCAAGGACCAATAATAAACTAGAGAGATGGCACAGGAGAATCCAGTCTATGTTTCAGGGATCTCACCCAAATATCTGGAAATTCGTACGGTGCTTGGGGCAAGAACAAATTTTACAACATGGGGAACTGATCCAAATTCAAGCGGGGCAATGTCGCGAGAAAAAAAAAGCACAAGCAATATTGATCTCTGAACAAACGTTCGGTCACCATTATTGACAAAGAGCAGGGTGGGGAAGGGGGGGGGGGTGAAATTGAACCGTTGGAATTTTGGACAAATGTAGCATTAAATTTGGAGCTTAATGTCTGACCTTTGAACGCGCGACATCCGCCATCCAGTTCCGGATAACCATGAGAAATTCCGGAAACATTCGTACGGATACGCTCGCAAAAGAAAAAAATCCACCGTTACAGGACGATGAAATGTTTCGCTGAACTGACAGTCGCTCAAATTGTAGTCGACGAAATAGATGTCGCTGAAACACAGCCTTCGCTAAAATTGATAATCGCTATATTTGATAATCGACGAACTTGATAATCGCTGAATTGCCATTCGCTGAAAGTGGTTCGCTCAAATGACGTTCGCTCAAATGACACTCGCTAAAGTCGCTCGCACCGTTTTATTGTGTCTCAAAATAGCTACAAAAAGACAACTCACCATAGTAGAAGCTTTACAGAGAAATTGACAGATCGAACCAAGCAATTAGCAAAGCACTAAAATAGGTCACTGACATCCACGGGCGTAGCCTTTTTCAATGTTGGACGGCTCTTATAATACAAACAGGGAGTCGATCCAGTCCCGGTCTCGACCGGTCCCGGTCTCGTAGCTCAGTTGCTAGAGCGTTGGATTCCGCGTGGCGAGAGCACGCGGCCCGGTTACAACAGTCCGAGTTCGAAGCATGATGGCCGCTCGGTGTTTATGAGCACCCTGACGGGTACGCTCATAAACGGGTGTGGTTGCGGTTGGTGGCAGGTCAGTTGAAGGCAATGAGGTCAAACAGTAGTTTTGAAAAAGTGCGCCGAAGGCGCGCCAAAATTTCGAAACTGAACAGGATGTGAGAGCAATCTTGGCATTGGCGACCACACGCGGGTCTTAGGGTTGGAGATTATGGCAAGTTAAGTAAATGGTAAATACCTACCTACCTGATTTGCAATATTACGCCCATGGAAGTCAACATTCGAAGAGCGTGAGTTTTCTTTTCTCGTATGGAGACAGCTTTTAGGATTTACAAGAATAGAAAAGTTACCCCGGCCGCGCCGGGGTAGGCTGAAAGTTACCCCGGCCACGGCCGGGGTGGCCGGGGCAGGTTCTCCACCCATGAGTGCGAGCTATCACAACAAACGTGCGTGTCTGGGCAGCGTGCGTAAAACTCCGACCTCCCCTCGCCAGGCTCAATTTGGACTTTCCCATTGGAAGTGGCGCAGTCAGGCTTAATCTGATTCGGGGCAGAGCAAATAGCTGAAAATTAACATTTTCCCTGATATCTGGAAATATACGGAGTTTTCAAACGTGCCACTTTTAGGACGGGTGCAAAAAGTTGTGGACATTTCCAGAGTATCATTATGCATCTTCGTCGCTTTAACCCTCGCCGGCCGAGGGGGGGGGGGCGGGTGCCGCCCCCCCATAGGGTTTTTTCGAGATAGCTCCGAACACGCTGGCGATAGAAAGCTGAAACTTGGCATACCTGACCTTTGATCCAAGCTGCATCTTTTGACACCAACCGCATTTTTGGGTCAGGTCAGGTCACTGACCTATGACGTCATAAGTGAACCTCTGCACGGTCTTCAGATGTCGCAACTTCGCAACGCCCTCACTGCCAGAGGAGATGTCACAGGGAAATGAAACTTGCAGGATCTAGTATCCATTATGAGTATCACAACTTGTATATCTCGGATTTTTCCTAAAGGTCATATGAGGTCAGGACATTTTCGTGACCTCACCATTATAAGTCAATGGGGAAAAATTCAAACTGCTATTCTGGCGCCGGGAACGATCTCCAACTATCTCAAGCACACAGAATCGTGATTTGATGCACTCCTTGCAAGGTTAGATGCGTCACTTTTGCAATGTTGACCTTGCGTGACGTCATTTATGACGTCATCAAGGTCATATTAGTGTTTCGTCAATAACTCTTGATCAAATTGAGCTAGCGAGTCAAGAAGGCCACCAATGGACTCAGGAAGACCTGCCGAATCGAATGATATGCGACATGACCCCTTTCGACCAACTTCGTGACCTGGGGGTGCTGACCTGACCTTGACCTGAGGTCAACACCCCAAGTTGACCTGACCCGGACAAAAAGTATATCATTCGACGCGCCTGAGCGAGGCGAACACGATGCTGCCAAAATCGCGGCTCTGCGGCCGTTTTTTGCGAAGTTATTCACCAAAAACTGAACCGTACCCTGGGGCACTTGACCTGACCTCAGAGGTCACCGGTTGACCTAGGACCTTAAAATCGGGTACCAATCTCTGCGTCTCGTAACGGCGCACACGCTCGTTTTTTCCGCGACGCGCTACCTCCACCAGGGGCGAAACGGCGAGGGGGGGGTCGTACCCGCCCCCCCCCCCTCGGCCGGCGCGTATGTAGAAAACCAATAGGTCCGGCGAGGGTTAAGTAAGAACGTAGGTCGATATTGCTGTGTGTAACGTATACCTACCACGCAGTGAGCAGAGGGCTGTACACCAAACAAAGAAGCACCAAGTGACCTGCTGTTAAGTACTGTGGTTTCAAAGCACAAAAGTGATAGAATGAAGCGGATATCTCCAGTATTTTCCGAATTTAGTATTTTCCCATAGGCTTAACATTACGACGTAATGACCTCTAACTGACCTCAGGTCAGTGACCTCAAAAAACCCGAACTATATGTTATACAACTCGACGAACTTAGCACATCCTGCAAGTTTGAAGGAAATCAGTCCAAAACTGTGAGTTGGACAGGTGCAAAAAGAAAATCGAAATCTGACCATGACCTTGTACCGGTTTTTCTGACCTGGTGACCTGACCCAAGGTCACCCGGACCTGAAATTATCAGGTCATATGTAAAAAGGTTCCCCATAGGCTGTGCCAAATTTGGCGGCGCTGCGCGCCACCGTTTTTCCGCCTTCAAACCTTAGGGGGGGGGGTGTCGCATCGACCCCCCCTGCCAGGGCGAGGGCGAGTGGCGAAACGGCGAGAAGGGGGAATTCCACCCACCCCTTTCGGCCGGTATGCAGAAAACCGATAGACTCGGCGAAGGGTAAGAAGCAAGTCAAACACGACGTTTTCAAACGTGCTCATGTACTCGTAATCTAAGAGTTCGTGCAATATATGACAATGAACAATGAACATTGAACAATGATATAATATGCTTACAGGTAATATCAATACATGCAACGCGCCGTTATGATCCAGTAACCCCTAGAGCAGCTGGGCCTGGACCGGGCGCGCAATACCCGATCTTTCACACACTAGCAAACAATAAACCCGCCGCCTACATTAGCGGCTCACTCCCGTGTCGAACGGAGTTGTCTGTTGTACGGAGTCCTGCTGTACAGCTGAATGGCCTCGTCCAGGAGCTGCAGTGCCTGAAGGCATCGGTATGGTCAGGTCAGGTCAGGTCGGGTTTAACACTCGACAAAAGGAACGTAATCGCAAACACGTCACGTTATCGAATGGGAAGATAGGTATAGCATAGTGTAATAAATAACAATATGGCATTTATTACTTTATTACACTATTATGGTATAGCACAGTGCGCCATAAGCAGTCATGAGATAAGGCGTAATTTCTGTGGCTGCTTCCCATGTGAGATTACAAAGGTGTTACCAGTTACCACATAACGGTTCTCTGCCAAAGTGCTACTGATGTAGCAGATCAGTAGCACTTTGGCAGAGAACCGTTCTAAATGCACACCACGACGCGCGGCAGTGAAGTTGAACTTACTCGTATGGTGATGTCTAGGGGCTCCTCCGGATACAGATGTCGCCTCAGTCGTCTAAGCCGCGTCCTCTGTCGATACCGACGCAGTGCCGCGACAGCGTCCGAAATTCGTATCGGAAGAAAACCGTACTGACCAGCGAGAACTGCGCAGGCGAAGATTGTCAGCGCCAGCGGCGTCAACAGCTGCCGATTGAACAGACACAGGGCTCAGCCAGCTGAGATAAGCGGGCTGCGGATCCACAACTCAGGGGGGAAGGGTTAAAAGCCGACAGCTTAGTTGAACAAGGAGAAGACAAGACTGCCAAGAACAGGCCATATTAAATCAATTCAGCACGTTTCGCAAATGACCTCCTAAAGAAGGCGACATCAGCTGAAACTGCACTAACAAAGTACCTACACATTTCATTTTACTCAACAATAACCATGCTTAGGACATTGAACATCGTCAATCACTCACGGGTCCTCCTTTGAACGGCGCCGGGCCTTTGAAGTCAGGGTACAGGTCGACGCCGAAGTTGAACAGGGCGTCGGTAGATGGCAGTAGCGTCGCCAGCAGCAGCAGGAGCAGCAGAAGCTGGAGAAAAGCTCGCCTCCGGTCGGTGACTGCCATTGTGGGATATTTGCCAGGCGATCACTGAGATGCTGGATAAGACACTTGGCAAGCCGAATCTCAATGAAGTCCGTAGCAGCAGCACTTCTGCAGATTGGAGCCTCGCTGTCTCTTATAGCCACCGTGTGCTGATCAGTGTCTGAGTCTGCCACAGACTGGTCTGTCTGGTGCAGTCTGGACAGCCTGGCTACTTCAGTCAGAACAGTTTTCCTCCTGCAGTCTTGGGCTAGTCACTGTTGGCACTGTCGAGTCTGGCTCCTCACTTCGTCCACTGGCGAGTGAGGTCCCTTGGTCCACCTGGGTCCCTCCCACGGAGGCTCAGGTCACTCGGTCCTCACCGGTCTGTCCACTGGAGAGTCGAGTCCTCGGTCGTAGTCCCTCAGTCCTCCTTGGTCCGCCTGCTGGAGACACCGGACCCACTATCCGCCTCTGAAGATCCGGTCACACTGTCCACCTTTGGAGACTCTGATCCTTCGGTCCTCCCGTGTCGCACCTCCACCAGCCACTGACCGCCTGTGTCCAGCCGAACTGCAGAGAGCTGCACTGCCACCTCTGCTGTGGGTCACCCACCACTACCGGCCCGAACACCCACCGGTAGCGGTCAGACGCCGAGAAGCCGCCCACTCAACAAACTGACGTGCGGTGGCTCTCTCTCCCTGCCGGAGGTGGCTGGACGGTGACCCAGTGGCCCTACAGAGTGACCCAGTCTGTCGGGTACTCTCCCCTTCAGACCGACCCATCAGCTCGACATGGCCCATCCAGACTTACTCAGGGGACAGCACACTGCAACATGTACCTCGTCCGCTGTATTATCTCCCCCTGGGCTGACCTAAACCTGTCGACCCAATACTCGCCACATGCCGAACCGATAGCCTCCTCTCACAGCTGAAGTGGCCCCTCCCGACTCTGTTGGTCCCTGACCAATATTTAACCGTCGTGTACACCTGCTTTGTGCACACACAGCGGGCCGAGAGGTGTCAGCGGAAAGCAGTGGTCAAACGTCATCTCCAGCGCTGGGATCCACCCACACAGCGACGTGACAGGCGAGGCCCAGTGTTGGCATACGGTGAAATCAGTGGACAGGACACACTTTGTTGAAGCAAAGCAAATGACCGGTGGGTTCATACACGTGCGCGATTCGGCAGCTCAGGCCGGACTCAGCGCAACAATCTGCGGCCCTTTCTGGGACCTGCGATGTAAATATGAAATAATCACTGCCTTTCATTGCTGAGAACGTTACAGCGAAATAACAAATGTTCCTCGACTGCCTGCCCATCTACCGATCACGTCACGTGTCACTCGACTCAAGCTCTCTCACATCCCTCCACAACCATCAACACCACCTTCTACACCTTCATTGAAAAATGTATTTACGCAATGAGCGCGATGTACACAAATACAAATACAAACACGTACATACATAAGATAACAATGAACGGCCGGCGCCCGGCGCGCCTGCCCGTTGTGCTGCTGTCGGCCGTGGCGCGGTCGCCGCCGGCCTCGAGCGTCGCCGATCGGCTGAGACTAGATCCGGTAAAAGGCGGCCAGCCGGCGGGCGCCGCGACCCGGTACACCGGCCGAGGCCCGGTCCGGTGTCAGAGAGTAGGACATTGAGGGGGGGGGGGCGGCCGCTAAAACAGGCGGCTGCCGCCACACACACACGCACACACACAGGGGCTGCTGTGCCGACGGCGACCGGCAGGGGGACAGTTCGGCCGTACCGCCGTCCAATACACCGCTCCCTGCAGTCAGAGCCGGGGAGACAGCGCCGGCCGCCGTCCAGCCTCGACCAACACGGCTCAGTACAAATGATCCCTGCCCACCGCCCGCACAATGGAATACAGCGAGTTCGTTGCGAATAGCGCTACCGTGAAAAAATGAATATGAACACAATATCAGCTTCTGGGCGAGCGAGTCGACGGCTGCAGACGGAGCGGCCGCGGTGCGGAGACATATTGCTGCTCGGTTTGTGACACGATGGGCTGTAAGCTATTCGGCCGTCTATGTACAGACGCATGTCCCGCACACAGACACACACACCCGGGCGGCGCGGCGCCCCTGGAAGATGGCCCCATTGAGCAACAAAGACAGTCGGAGAGTGGCGACAACAGAGGCGGGCAGGCGGGACCAGCGGCGGGCGGCTGCGCACGCGACACGGAGACACGCCACGGCCGCGCACATACACGCCATAGAAAACACCATTTGATATTCAGAATAAGTATCACAATTGGCGGAGACGCGGCAGCCCCGGCCGTCGCCCATACTTCACCAGTCTTCGGCGCCCGTTTTGATTGTGAAGACACACTCACGTAGTCGCTTGGGGTCAGATACAGTTCACATGTACACACATACACACGGAGTGGCGGGAACCGACGGGCGGAGTGGGCACGGCGGCTCACTGAGTGGGGCGGGACGCGGCGGTGGCAGCCGGGCGAACCAGCAGACAGACGCGCCCGTCTAGATCCCGTCTCAGGTCCCCGGCGTGCCAATCTATCCATCCATAGAGGTGTCGTCCCTCCCAGCGGCTCGTCGTCCATCCTCAAACCAGTCAGCGCTCCCAAGGCCCGTCATTCGGCCCATCTGGTTTGTCGCGATGTCCCAGCGCTGTACCCCGCGCTGTGACCCGGCGTTGTGACCAGCGTTGGTTTTGTGGCGCTCTCAGAGGCCGTCGACCGCCCAGTGCCGGCCGGCCGAGCGGACCGGCCGTCTACTGCCACTCGCCGTTCCAACCGGTCCACTCGAGAACGCCGGACTGTAACTGTCAGGGGTCCGGCTCGCCGGCCATTATCTTGTGCACCTGTGAACGGCAGGGAGGGCGCTGTTAGACAGAGGTTGACGAGCTGTGAGAAAAGGGTTAGCGCTGCTACCTAGAACCCGGTGACGGGAGCCGAGCGCTAATGGACGGCACGACGGAGCGGTGAAGGCAGTGACGTCCAACGCTGCGGCACATTCTCAGAAACCGACTCATTAACAGTCTGTAACGAGCTGGTAACTGACAAACGAAACGGGACACTTTGTCCTATACCCTTCAACTAGGTATTGATTACACAGCTTTCTCGGAAAACGTACATCTCAGAACCTGGGTAAGCTACGTCCGTTAACAAACCTGGCTACTGTAAAATAATCTATCCTGCCCGCAACAACGCGGAGCACATAACTGTAACGACTGTGATGACTGATACTGATGAGACTGATGAGGACTGAGAGAATTTCAGTCCTCAGCAACTACTATGCTATCGTCTCCTACGCCAGCCGCGCCCCAGACTCAGCCCACGCACTGACCTGCTCGAGTTTGAGCGCGAGCCGCTGTCGACTGGAGAACTCGTCCTCCTCGAGGTTGGCCATCAGCTGGCCGCTGTACTTGTCCGCGTACACGTACAGCTCGTGCAGCGCGCAGTTGGTGTTGAACTCCTGCTGGTGCAGCTGAGGGGACAGGGGCGGGGACGGTTAGAGATGGGGGAATTGTGGGAGGAGAGAAAGAGAAAGGTAGAGGAAAATTAGCAGATAAATGGAAATTTTAGGGAAAACAGGAAAAAAACATGAGAGATAAAGAAAGATCAAACGGAAGTCGCAATGTATAAGAGATAGAAGGCTGGATGCAAGTCTTCAAGGGTGAGGCTAAGAGTAAATACTGCCGACGTTCTTTTTACTGAGGCCACAAAAACCATCTTAACAGAATCTGAGCAGAACCCGAACGAAGCATAATCAACCCCTTAACTGCTGTCCATCATAAAACAATATGTTGTACTGGCGTCTTCTTCGAAAAGACAAACAATCCCAAACCCCAGAGCGCAGTAGATTCTCAGATAACTAGCCCGACTTTGACTTACCCTGCTCTCCTCTGCCAGCATGGCGTTCATGTCCTGGTCCGAGATGGCCGGCATCCTCTTGATGTCGTCGTAGTACTTGGTCACCCACTCCTTGTAGATGGGGATGTCCTTGGCGTACAGCAGCTTGCTCGACGGCGAGTCCTTGCCTGCGAGGAGAGAGAAAAACGAATGTAAAATGCAAGTTGCAACAAATGTGAGTTGTGACCCGGACATGTGAAGTCCTGTAACACACCTCAAATTAATCCAAACTGTAAACATCGTCCGGAGTATCATTGGAGCACAACGATAGCTGATGCCTTCAGGTGAAACTCAGCACGCTAAGACAGCCCCTCGGGTAGGCACCGGTCGAAGCGTGACGACTGACTGGACTGACCACCTACAATACAGCTGAGGTTGGTGTAAGCAAGACGACTCGGGTGCTAGGGCAGCGATACGCACCGAGCTTGTTGTCTGTGGTAGAGCACGAGTCCATGAAGGTCTGTGCCACCACCGACAGACACGAGTCGACGATGTTGGACTTGTGGATGTCGAACACAAAATTGGGGTTTTTGATGAGGTTCACCCAGAACCGCAGTGGCAAGCTGCGAACGGACGAAAGGAAACATGTCAGTACCACCTTCTCACAGGCAGCCACAGGCAGCCGCCGCAAGAATTCACGGTGATCAGCCGGCTCAGGAAATTTAATTATAGGAACATTTCTATTGAACAATTGAGCATACATGCGATGAATTACTGCCGATAGAGCCGTTCAAGACGTCCTATGACTTTGGACCGTCTCGCTCATTTTAACTCTCTACTTCTCTCCCCATGTCTTTCTTCCGTAACCCTCACGCTCTACCATCGTCCCCTGCCGTGCTGTCCTCTCTTCCCGCGTCCCTCTGTCGTCCCGTTCGTCCGCTACCGAGTTCAGTTCCCCTTCCCTTCCTTCCATCCTCACTCACCTGTTACTTTTCCACGTGTGCACCGTGTCCGGGTCGGTGATGCCGTACAGCAGCGCCTGGTCGTCCAGAAAGTCAAACATGTACTTGATGGCCAGCGGGAGGGCCGAGCCGCGGTGCGCCGTGCTGAAGATGGTCTCGAACAGATCGTCCATAAACTTCTGCAGAGTGCCCTTGGTGGCCAGCAGACGCGTCAGGTAGATCTCCGAGACCATCTTGTTGCTGCGCTCGCCGTCGCGCTGCTCCGACTCGGAGTGTCGCACCAGGTGCCACACCTGTGGAGAGGGGCGAGGTAGTCAGTGACTCACATGGGTTACAGATGGGAAAAGGTGAACGGCCACACCAAGACGATGAATGCGAGTGAGAAGTTGCACTGGACATCGGCCGTGCGGGAATGAGGAATCGTTGTTTAACGACTCTTTTGGGCACATAAGCGGCCAATACATTTGGGAACACATAAACTTTATCACCACTACCCAACATAAGACGCACGCACAGCCATCCTACAAATCACCCTGAATGTTTTCTGCAAACCACAAAACATCCTAATAAAGGAATGATGATGACTCACGCTCCCACCGCTCCCACCCCTACCTGACCCAGAATACCACCCAGCGTCCACGATGACTAACCTTGATGCCGCTCTCGTGGTTGGTGGGGCTCATGGCCCGGCTGAGGGGCGGACTCTGCGCGCCGCCGTACTTTGCCTGATTCAGCGTCTCGTACTTGTGCGACTTGTCCGACTTCTCAGACAGGATGCTGATGTTGTACAGGGAGCTCTGTTTGGGCACCAGGGTGAGCAGCGCGCCGTCGGGCACGCGGTAGTGTGACAGTGTGTTGAGTTTCTTCCAGCCGCTCTCCAGTTTGGTGGTGGAGTCCTCGTCGTAGAGAATCAGACGGCCAGAGTTGCCCGTCCGCCACTCTGCACGAACGAGCATAGAGTGGGTTAGTACTTACTTAATTACATGGTGAAGCGTCATCAGATAATCATCGTAGGTGACTGCGTAAGTGGGCAACGGGAGACCAATGTACCCCAGCTTAGAGCGAACAGAGTCGATTAATGAGCCAGTTCGATATGGATGATCCAAGCTCTCAACGCTATTTTCAACAACCCTACTCCTTACAAACGTCCAGACTCCCCTCTCCCTCACACACCTAGCCCACTGTCTCCCTCTAACACACACCACCATCCTGCCATCTATGTTTGCCTTACCCCCTCGCGACTGTCTCTTACCGAGGTCGAGGTCCTCCTTCCGCGGCCTCATGGAGAAGGGCGTGGAGCGGTAGATGGAGTCGAGGCTCTTCTCCTTGGTCTGACTGATGGTGTCCGTGTTGAGGACACGCACAGGGATGTCCACGTTGTCCTGGTGCGGGTCCAAACCGGACACGTAGACGGTCTGTGTCGGCATCGAGACGTACACCGTCTGGAATAGTACGGGGAGGAATGGTCTGGTCACAGAGGCCAGAGACATCTATTGCTCTCAGCTGATCTTTTCAGTCTCTGAAACAAAATATGCGCAACCGCAGCTATTGATGTCCAGGCAAAATATAAAAGTGTTTATCTCCTATTAAATGTCTAGCCCCTGATGAATCACTCCGTTCACAAAGGACTTCACGCCTTCACTTGGCTCCCTCTCCCCACCAAACCCACTTCCACGCCTCTCCCCCGCCTCCCTCACCATGTATGTGAAGTCGATCTGTTGTCGGATGAGTTTCTCCTCGGAGAGCGAGTAGCGCGCCTCGCTGGTCACGGCGTCCACCGGGCCCTTGTCCACCTGCTGCTTGATGGCGCGGTACAGCAGGTACAGCGGCTCACCGGCGCACTCGCGCAGGAACTTGTACAGCAGGAAGGTGAACCAGGCGGAGAGCATCTTCTCGGCCACCGACTCGGTCCTGGCGGCGCCGGAGGGAGGGCGGTCAGCGGGCGGAGCGAATCAGGTGGGTACGGTGTGCATGAGTTGGAGCGGGGAGGGATTGGGTAGTAAAATAGTTTGATTGTAAAATTCACGATCACACAATGCTCATATATGATCATCGAGCTAGGAACTCAAAACGAATGACACTAGGCAGCCCTGACCGGAGAAACTAATATCCGTGATTGCCCCGCCAAGATTGCAATACGTACTTCACCCCATATGCAAACTACACGAGACATGAATGCCTATATCCCCTCTAGGCGTGCCAGATAGCCCCTAAGGAGCGGTTAGGTGCTCGAGTTTTTATACCCATTCCCTCGATACATACCTTCTAAGCAGCAGTTTGGGGTGCGACCCGTTGCCCTCGGTGCATTTTTCGATCAGCTCGTTGAGCAGCGTCTTCAGGATGTCGGTGGAGTATTCCATTCGACACTGGAGTGTCACCATTATTAGGGACGCCACGTTTACCCTGAGGGAGGCGGTCAGCGTTAGGCGGCGGTAGGTACAGGCCAGAGGAACGGAATAGCAGTCGTGATCAGGGAGGCCACGTCCCTAATCACAAGGGAAACAGGCATTTTGATAATCCTGGAGATTAATGGCGTGAGGCCAAGTTCACTCTGAGTAGCACACACAGTGATAGTGTTTTCCCTGACATGGCAATATTGTTAGCAGACAGCGTGTTAGCTGACGGCGTCCAAGGAGCACAGATCCAGGTCTATGAAATGTAGGATGCAAGACACGGGTCGTCGCAATAACACCGGAAAGTCACTACCTGCTGCCTAGTTCACCGTTCACCGAGTGAGAGGAACGCAGTCCTCTCGGTACACCCACCTGTCCCTCATGCTGAAGTATCGGTTGCTCTCCAGGGTACGTATGAAGAGCAGCAGGAAGGTCTTGTTGATGATGAGCTGTCCAAACAGCCGCAGCCCCTTCTCTCGGCGCTGTAGGTCGGGTCGGTTGGCCCACTGCAGTACCGGGTGGTCCTCCTGACTGGGGAACAGGATCTTCATGCAGTAGGCGCGATACTCGAGGAACGGGATGCCGATGCCGGTGATGTCCGAGGTCAGGTCCGTCATCTCCGTCTGCAGCTCCGCGAACGCTGCGAAACACGAGAACAGTTAGACGGATAGAACACGAGAATACGCCAGGGAGGATCGAGTAACGCTTTACAACTGGCGTCGTCTTCCCAGAAAGCGGCTTATCCAATCGAGCAATAGCTGTTTTCATTAGCCGTTTTTTATCCCTAAAACTAATCATGCATGATAAGAATGCGGGAAGAAAATATAGCGAAATCGTAGCTCTCATATTCCTTTTTTATCGATACACGGAGGAATCTATCCACCAACACCATACGCCACACAAAACTTGCAGCCCACTACTCCTCAAGGCAGGTTAGACGCAAAACATCATCATTCACGCACCTTCCTTGCACTCCGCGGCCACCCTGAGCTCGAGAACATCCATCTGCTCTTGCATGTTCTTCAGCACGCGGGATGACTCTGACGACTTGCGTTTGTAGGCAATGAGGATAGCGATGACGGCGAGTACCAGTAGAAAGGCTGCCACCGCCACGCCGATTATCACCTGCGGGAGGTCAGGGAAATGGGTTGGTGAGACTGAGAGGAGATGACATTCGGGGGAGACGGCGATATGAACGCCGGCGAGCGGGTGAACGGATGGTGCTCTTGCATTGGCTTGACAGTTTTAAAAGTGAGAATAACAGGCAGTCCAACTACCAAAGTGTTGACAAAGCAAGCATTGTCAACCACACAAGACATCGCTTTACTGATGCGACATGAAACAAACGTCAAGAAGGCAGCCTCCATACATCCTTCACCACAAAACAGTGGCAGAACCAGCCAGACAACCCTGTGCCGCCTCATCCACCCGGACGTCAGTGCCCCCTGCAGGCTAGCGGCTGTGGGCGCAGTCCACTATCCTACACTACACCACACAACATGCGCGTCTCTGCCCATTGCGACTGTGACCGGCCGCACGACCCGCGTTCCCGCCCCTTACCGGCTGTGGCAGCGTGCCTCCGCCGGGGTTCAGGCCCGCGTACGACAGCCGTCCGATCGTGTAGTTGAGGCGACTACCGATGCTCACCTGAAGAGGCATAGAACACAGAATTAGACAGACGGTACCACAGGACGGAGATATGGGGTACACGAGATACAGGAATACGCAACAACAGAGAACTGTTACTGCCAACAGCAAGTTGATGCCTCCAAAAGTACACATATCCTATGTTTTTCCTTATGGCAACCATGTTCGATTAGACGCTTACGGTTTAACAGGATCATTTCAGAATTGAGGGCGACGAGACACGATGATTAGGAGAGACAATGAGCTAAGGAGGCCTACCAGGTGTTGCACCACCTTGGCTCATTCCGTGCCGAGACAGGCCACCAGTGCATGCTGACGGTCACCCCGGTGTGGCTCACTCCCATAGGAGCTGCCCTCACCGGTTTTCGGTGGTCGTCCAGCGCGGAAGAGGAATCGATGAGCAAAGGAGAGGATAGGCACGCCCTGAGGATGGAAACAGACGGATCAAAGGCACATCCACCATCGATTGCTATTTACACAGCAGTTAGCTAAAGCACGACACGATGTGGTACAGTCCAGTGAATATAGAATCAAACACCACCCACCTACCGGCCAATGGCAGTTTCCATCGATTTACCGACCCGGCCCAGAACTCAGCGGTAACGACACACCGGCACTTTACACTTCCGCCGACCGATTTTCAACACAAATTATAACCGGATAATTGGACAAGGCTAACGATAAATAATCACTAAAATTTATGGCACGATCGAAACAATGTAGAACAAGGACGTGACAGAACTATGAACTATGGCCCGTACGGCACGCGGTGCCTGTCATCTATCGGCCGCAATACGTACTATAACTTGCGGCAGCTCCTCGTCCGTCGGCTGGCCGTCGGCGCCAATGGCTAGAGGAGCCTTCTTGGGCGGCTTGCACGTCAGCTGATTGAGCGAGAGTGACGTCACGTTGCAGAACTCGGTGCCGATCCGGACTGTGACGTCAGAGTCACGGCAAGCCAGGTTCAGGTTCCGGCCCTGCGGGAAATGGGAGGGGCGGCATATCAGTCAAATGGTTTGAAGTTGTTTGAGTCTGTCGACAGAATAACTTAGTAAGACTGTCCGGGTCTAACGAACATTGTCAAGCGGATGACCAAAACCATTCACTCATCCATCAGTCATGCGTGATTAGTTCGGAATTGATACATCCCACACACGAAAATAAAGGGACATAAAACGATCCAATAAAACAGTGAGAAAAGAAACACAACTTCAGTGAAAGACTCCAATCGTTTCCATACGCGTCCTTCACCCGATCAGCGCCTGCCCTGCACCTGAAGCTGGGCCCAGCCGTCCGCGTCCACTCACGTTGATGGTGAGGTAGTCGCTCTTGTAGTATTTGACGCCGTCCTCGTCCTCGAACGGACTGTACACGGGGTCCGGGTAGAGCTGGAATCGGCGCACGCCGCTCGCCGCAGAGAGGTTCCTCACCGAGCGCACCTGGGGAGGGAGGGAGGAGCGTCAGTCACCGAGGGAACACAGAGGTACACAGCGGCCGGGACAATCGCATGGATAACACTGCCAAAAATAGAGGTGGCCTCTATCCAGATGGGCGCCGATGGTTCATTGAAGAAAAGATAGTGCAAACACAAGTATTTGATTGGAGTCGCGAAAAGTGGACCCCAACTTCCGACAGGGTAGTATCCTCGGAGAAAACCAGTCTAGTGTGAAGCATTTCATACTTGCGACAGCCAAAACTTGCAAACACTAGCCAAAATATCCTCACGCCTATAAGAGGCAGCCGAACTGTGTAGCCCTCCCAGTCCCTCATCCTCCCCTCCCCGCCCCACACATCACAGGGCGTCACTCACGTCGTCCATGATAAAGCCGTAGTGGAGGTTCTCGGGCCGCTGGGCGGGAATCTGCTGCGGCCGCGGGTGGCTGGGGATGGCTGGCGAGCGGCACTCCATCAGCTCGTCGCCCAGCACACGACACGGCTGCTGTACGAGAAACGCCGGTTAGGGGTGTCAAAGGGCGTCCATCAACCAACACCCGACATGGCTGCTGCACCAGAAACAGACACCGATTATCACAACTTTATGGGGACATGGGGACAGTAACACTGCAAGCATCAATTCAAAGATTCTTATCACGATTTTTTTCCAAACAGGTGGAAGAAAAATTTTGTTCAACATGCCTAGAGGTTACAATCCATCCCATTTTCCCATGAATCACCAATCTGACTACCCTGTTTTTCCCATCCCAAACCTTCACCCACCCCAGGCTGTCCACCCCTCCAGCCCACCACAGCCCGTCTACTCACGCTGACGAACTCGTCTCCGGCGTACTGGACGGCCAGCCGCGGCCGCTGCACCACCAGCAGGTTCTCGCCGCGCACCGTGATGATGACGCCGCCGGACGGCACGCCCTTGGGCACCTTGTCCTGCGGGTTCGGGCCGCTGCTGACCTCCAGCACGCGCGGATCCTCCTCGTACCGGTAGCTGGGCTCGGCCAGGTGGCGGCGCGTCCTGTCGAACGTCATGCTGAGCGGCTGCGGGCCGGGCCGCGGCGCCGCCGCCGTCACACACACCGCGTACGTGGCGGCCCGCTCGCGCACCTCGCACGGCAGATCTCCCAGCTGGGCGCGCACCCGCGAGCCGGCGTCCATGTGGTCACCGATGATGCGCAGGTGGGTGCCGCCGGAGCGCGGGCCGCGCGTCGGCTCGATACGAGAGATGCGTGGGTCGACGAACTCGTAGCTGTCGGCCGACTGGGCGCGGAAACTGGCCACACGGACTACCACTGGCGCGCTGCGGTACTGTAAGAGGGGGGAGGGAGGTCACACCCACCACACGGACCACCACCGACGCGCTGCGGTACTGTGGAGGGAAAATGAGAGGTAAAAACGTAAGTGCCGTGTGCATCGTAACTTTTGCACACATCTCCCCATCCAGCATGTAATGCAGGCACATAGTGCCATTCTAGAGAGCACTGTTATACATAGCCAACAGTGTTGAGTAGCCCCAATTTCACCAACGTACAGGAAACAAACGGCAGGCACGGCTGTGAGTCGCACATCATCCACGGCCAAAAGAAAATATGTCATCCTAATATAGCTTCAGCCAAGATCGTCAACTGGACCACTTGCACAGTACCACCCTTCCTAACTCTGCAAGCCCACATGTCACGTACTAACACAATCACTTCCACCCCATCCCTCCGAACCCCCCCCCCCCACCAGCCCGCTACCACCTTCAGCGACTCGTACCTCGTTGGTGCCGGGTCCGTCCACCTCGCAGACAATCTGTCGCGTCTTCTTGTAGAGGGCGCGGATCGGGTTACAGGGCACGCCGGCCACAGTCACCTGATCGTAGATGTCCTCGAACGTCTTCCCTAAGTTGATGCCTGATATGGTGATGTTGGTGCCGCCCTCGTATGGCCCCGACTTGGGACTGAAGTCGGTAATCTAAAGCGGAGAGGAGGCAGCGGTTAGGGTGGGGTGGCGACGTGGTCTTAGTAAAGTATCCATGACAGTTGGACAACGACAACTCAAGAAACTCAAGATTACAAAACGATATTTATTTTTAAATTACTTTTAAATACACAAAGCTTTCGGTCACATACGACCTTGATCACTGTGTTTAGCATTGTGAAACACAGTGATCAAGGTCGTATGTGACCGAAAGCTTTGTGTATTTAAAAGTAATTCAAAAATAAATATCGTTTGGTAATCTTAAGTTTCTTGAGTTGCCGTTATCTGACGTGCTCTTAGCTTGTTACGGAGCGAGCGAAGCGAGCGGAGTCTTTCGTAGATTAACGGAAATTTCTGAGAATGAGCCCGTGCGGACGCTTTTGCGAGGCTAAGATCTCAGCAACCACTTGACCGATTTACATGCTGTAATTTTTGTAGGGTAGCTTCATTCCTTCTACCAAGTATTGGACTATTCCTGATGCATGTGGGTGACCCTTTATGCACGTGCCACGTGAAAAACGAAGAGGTGTCAGTTTTGTAACAATTTCAATATCTCGGCAACTACTGGGCCGATTGCGCTGAAAGTTGGCATGTAGGCAAGCACCCACAAGGCAATGCATATCCATGTGCCACAGTTGGGGTGCTGCTGCACGTGCGCACGTGCAGGGGTCGATTCCACATCTCGTGAACGGCTGAACCGATTGCGCTGAAATTTGGTACATGGTTAGGGACCGGTTAGTAATGTGCCGTGCAAAAGTCAGTTGGGTTGGGACCCGTTTTGCACGTGCGCACGCGCAGGGTGCCGCTTCCAGATCTCGAGAACGGCTGGGCCCATTGTGCTCAAATTTGGCACAACGCTAAAGACCGGTTAGCACAAGTTAGTTGGAGGTACCCCCTCGAAATTTCGCACGTGCAAGGCTCACCCTCTCGCTCGCTCCGTTGGTCGCCCCAAAAGGCGTTATACTGGTGACTAGTTCAGTTGGGCTGGTGGAGCCATACTCGAGATGGATGCTGATTTTTGGGTGTCAACAAAATACAAATGTATCACGATGAGTAACCATCTTCCTAAGACACGTGTCATCAAACTTCCGAGCCTCCGGTGAAGGCCGGGACATTCATTTACCAACGGATGTGACTCAAATGATCTTTCAAGAATATATTGGAAAACGCAGAGCAGGCAGAGTAAGGTATAGAGGAACAAGGGCATTACATTTAAAAGAAATACAGGGTGTTAAAAAATGAGACGATAAAGAATCGTTATATCTCGGAAAGTAATTATGCTACAAGAATTACTAATATGTCATTCAAAAGAGAAATGTTGAAAGTTTTATTTTATGGTACGTCGGTTTTTATTGTCCGGACGAATTATGACCATGCCACGTGCAAACATCTCGTGCCCAAAAAAAGATTATTTTAACAAGGCTGGCAAACCAATGACGATGTGGGCTTTTAATGAAATGTTTTCTGGAAGTCTTTTTAGGAGAATGGGGGATTAATATCGATCAAACCAATGGCAACATTGAAACTTTTGCTTGTCTGTAAACTGATTCATAACGCCGATTGACGCCGGGTGAATAGATCAAGTTTGTCAACTTAAAAATGATTTTTTTGGGGCACGAGATGTTTGCACATAATTCGTGCCGGATAATAAACACCGACGTATTATAAAAAAAAATCAACAATTCTATTTTGAATGACATATCAATCATTTTCTTAGCATAATTACTTATCGAGATATGATTCTTTATCGTCTCGTTTTTTTACACCCTGTGCATACAAAAGACGTAATACCTACGGGTCGACGGCGACACTACGACCACGGAATATATAGTCTACGACATGTATGTCGTAGACTATAGATTCCGTGCTACGACTATGCGATAAATGATAATCATGTTCAAGATCGTTTTTCTAGCGTTCGGAAAGTACCATGCTATTTTGCTCTAAATGCTAATGCCAGTCTACATGCATGCTTAGTGTACAGTGGATCTAGTAAGGATCTCCAGACGTTACTAGATGGCGTTGAGCCTCAGTCGAGTCCATGTCAAATTCAAGGGGAGGTCAGTACCGAGCTGGGCCCGATGGGGAGGTAGGCGGGAGGGGGGGGGGGGCGGTTGGCGAGGTCACGGTGCGGGTGACCTGTCAAACAGCCCCGGCGCGGTTGGGCACTGCCGCAGGCAAATGGCGCACTCGAGTGTTGTTCCATATCGCGGTGGTGGGCCGGGCCGGGGCGGCCGGTTAGCTTGGCTGCTTGGAGGAAAGGATAATGAGGCATGGGTTTGCTGTGGCCGGTTCATCTACTGTCAACTATGATGAACCTAAAGTAATGCAAGTATGATGCTGGTAATGCAGCTGGCAACGGAATGCTAGCGGATGCTCCAAGCGCCCGTAGGATTAAGATTATTTATGTCTCCTGAAATTTTCATTGAATATAATTCAAGCACTAGAAACATCGTATCGTTCGCCAATTTTTTGACCGGCTGGCGTTTTTTCCGTAGAGCGCCCTTGGGCAAATACCTAATTATCACGCAGGTGATTTATTTTTATTTTTTTGCTGGTAAGATTTAAGGTCAAATCAAGTCGCTGAGAGGAGATGAGGAAAAGCGGACGAATGCCACATTTTTGTGCATAAAGTCTCGATTAAAAAAAGGCTTAAAGTTATTATACGTGTAAGCTAAAAAAACAATAAGATCAGTTAAAGGGACCCTCCCACCTTAACATTAGATTTGAGTTGAGATAGCCAAAATGGGGTCCCTGACTCACAATTACCGGTTTCGGCACTCACAACATCGAGAAATGCCTTAAATCGGAAATATTGAATTTCAAAATTGAAGCATTTTGATTCAGAGGGGCTAATGCATAGGAATACCCCTCTGAATGTGTGACGTCAGCGCAGATATCTAGCGATTTTTAAATGTTTGACTAAAACGTTTTGTAGCACGCGGTGGTATATGCTGCTTTGCGCGCAACAAGTGCCGCACTTTCAGCTGCCAAACTATTGCTTCCAAATAAAGTCGCTAGGAACAGCGGAGATCCCAAAAAGTAAACAAAAGTAAAAGTCTAATATCTTGAAAACCGGTGAATGTTTTTTCGGTGAAATTTGGTAATTCGTTTTCGCTCTTTCTGAACCGAGCGACATCACTTTCATGCCAATTCATAAACTTTTTGAAGGTGGGAGGCTCCCTTTAATAAAAATATTTGACCCGAAATTGGCCTCTGTTTTCTCTGACCATGATTGCGTGTAAGACACAGGTCCAACCGGGTTCAACCCGACCCAACATGGTTCGGCTCCCCTTTTTTAATATAAATTTGGCCCGAACCTTTTGAATGAAAGGAATCATAAGGAAAGAGTCCCCACTAAGCTGAGCTTGTTGCGTTGACCCTACCCTTTACCCTCCGATCAAGCAATTCCTGGTCTATGGCAGAATTCAGAGTCCAAAGTTTAACCTTCCAGGCGGTGGGGGGGGGGGGGCATTTTTTTGCCCCCCCTTTAGTTTTTTTCGATATATCTCGAGAACCGCTGCGCCGATCGTCACCAAACTTTCAGTACCCTCCCGGGAGCAGCTAGCGCACATGGCGACCAAAATTTTTTCCAAAGGCTATGATAGGTTGGCCGCTATTGACGTCAGAGTGACGTCATTTTTGCCATTTTCGACCCAAAAAAAGGTTTCGCGGGAAGAGCTGTCAGGCCTACAGCTTTAGAGATACAGAAAAATGTTTCAGACATAAAAGGTGTGGAATTAAGAGGGCTACAAAACTGCTATTTAGGTTTTTCGAATTTTTTGGATTTTGACCCCCAAAAATCAAAAAATAGATTTTTTGAATATAATAGCCTAAAAATCCAAAAAGTTTTTTGAATTTCGAAAAAAACCGGAATATATGTGATAGCCCCTACCGCCTTCTATCTACATACCAAATTTGAAATCGATACCTCTTTTTTTGGCCAAGTTATAGCGAAAAAACTGTTCAAAATTGATGACGTCAAATTTTCAAACTCAATTTTTAGCAATTCTAGACCTCGTAGCGCAAAACAAAGACCACCATTAGACTCCCCGTGACGAGCTGCATCGAATCGATACCCATTTTATGCAAAAATATCAACTTTGAAATTTGACCTTTTTTGACCTGACCTTGACCTGACCTCCACCAGAAAGTGACCTAAACCGTACCTGATGGTCTTATAACCAACACCATTGAGTTGGAAATGAAAAACTGGCCATAAAACATGCATCACATAACCTTAGTAAAGTTGGGCTCATGTGGTGACCCTTGGTGACCTTTGGTGACCTGACCTGTGACCTGACCTGGTATGACCAGTGACCTCTAATAGCAACATATGTACTATACAACTGACGCCTTATCGCTGATTTTCGACAAAATGCGTTTTACTCGGTGTTATAGCGCTTTCCCTAGAAGCCCCGTGAACGGTGAAACATTTTATCTTTGACCTGATCTGTGACGTCATCGGTGACCCCGAGGTCAATGAAATTTGGTTTCCCTCGACAAATTTTACAGGGCTATCGAACGTCGTTTGAATTTTCCGGATCCGTCCAGTAGTTTCGGAGATACGGGGGGGGGGGCAAAAAAGTGCCCCCCCCCCACCGCGCGGAAGGTGGCTGGTAGGCCCACCGCCTGCCGGGTTAACGTGCGCACATAGCCGCGCAGGGCCGATCCCCTCACTGACTTCGCCTGGCAGCGGCCTGCCACCAACCACAACCATACCCGTCAGGAGCTCAAAAACGTCAAGCACACATCGCGTTTCGAACCCGGACTTTTGCAACCGGGACGTGCGCTCTCACCACACGGAGTCCAACGCCCTACCGACCGAGCTACTGGGACGGACAATTACCTAGGGGCTTCGCCTCGTGACATTGACAGACGTCAGACACTTTGGCCGAACTATAGCCGTAGCACTGAGCAAGCTGCGCAGGGCGATAGGTGCTCGTAGCGTTTAGGTTGGGTAACTTGTGAGCTGAACGCGATGTCGTGAGTTCGAGCCCCACTCCCGGGTCTGTTTTTTTTTTCTGGACACGAACCAAAACCTTTTCTTCTACTGCAACACAGACAAGCACGATGACATCTTTCGCCAACATCTTTCCCCAAAATCCTCTCAAAAAAGTCAAAGTTATCGCTTATAAATGTCTAGCTTAGTTTCATTTTTAAAGAAAATATTTTTGGTCATTTTCCTGGAGCCATTTTAACTCTTTCTTTTCGGATTCTTTTCGACCCGATAAACTCATCAAAACTGAACGTGCCAAATGAAAAAAATACCCAACTCAAATAACATTTTAGGAAAGCCTAAGACTGTCATCATGCAACTATCGACTGAATAGTTGCATGTTTTTAATACGTCCTAGATTTCAATTATCATTGTTCAAGATTTTGGCTGGAACAGGCGCTGCCTCTCGCTTGTCCGTTTGTTTGAGATAATGATTCCCTTCAGTCGCATTCTTGCTGGTTCCACATGAACAGGATACCACCATACCGGAGTGAACGCACCCGCAGCCATCATCCCCTCCCCTCAGCCTCGGCGCAGTGGCGGGCGTCCCACTCCCGGCGCTACGCACGCCCCATGCGCCGTGATACCGCGTCACTCCCCCTCCCTCCTTCCCCCACAATGACCGGTGACCTCACTTCCCTCGGGATTTGGACTCGCCCTACCCCGACCGTAGCGCCACGTGGTGGCTCTGGAGATCTTAAATAGACCCACTGTACATACAAAAGCAGCGTTACCGTAATTTCGTGTAACTTTGGCCACCGATGGCAACTTTGGCCCACGCCTGGAAAAAAATAACTTGTTTTGCTGTAGCTTTTTACTCTTACCTAGCGCAGAAAGATTGTTGTTATGGTTTGGTAAGATTGTTCATCGGTTACCTTTAGGAGCAGCCCTGAGTTGTTCCTAAGACCAAATTGAAGGGCTGGGGGGGGGGGCGGGGGGGGGGGGGGGGGTAGGACAACCCATGAAAAAATTAAGAGAAAATCAGGGTTGGCTAGGATCCATTGAGGACAGTAAACGGGTGCGCCAGTTTTGAACTTGTGCTTTCCAGCTTGTAGTGGTTAAGTAAGCTCGGGATACACAAAAGTACAGAAGGTAGCTATTTTCTTTAAAATTAAAATATAGGTGGACAATGTTGCCACACACTTTTAGATAAAAATCGGGCAACTTTGGCCCAGTTTGAAATCTGCCGCCCCTCTCCCTAGGATTTTTGTTCGCGATAGCTCCAAGCACGCGAGTGATATGGAGCTGAAACTTGGTTATTGCGGCTGGTGACTTTGAGAATATGGATTGCAAAGACAAAATCAAAGAAGTCCACTGCAGGCATACGTTGCTAACAGATCACTGAGTTATTGAGGCTTAACCAAAAAAGTGGGCCAAAGATGCACGAAAATACGGTAACAGAAAGTATTCCAGCGCGGAACGGAACTTTGTCTATAAAACGAAGGACTGTCCATTCAGCCGGGAAGACTGGTCAGTTAAGTGGGGGACGGGGTTCCCACTCGTACCCGCGGGTTGGGGCACGGCTTGCTGCGGTCGAGCCAGGGCGGCGCGGCGCACTCATCCTTGACCTCACAGCGTCCGGAGGACTCGCACCAGCCGCAGTTGAAGCGCGGCTCGAGCGCCAGACACTCGCCACAGTTGTCGGCCATGCGGGCGCACTGGTACACCAGCACTGGGACAGAGAGGGAATCGGTCATAAAGAGCACTGCAACGGGGCGGGGATCTGGTCAAACTAGGGGACCGGTCACAGGGGGCACTGGTCACATGAGCACGGAAATGGGCCGGGGGTCAGTCACAGCCGCGGTCCGTCCATACCGCTGATCTGTCACACCCATAGCCTCGGCCTGTGTTACCAATGTGGAACACGCTGGTACCTGAATTGAGAACAAAGGAATGTGTTTACTGTTCACAAAGGGATGTGTTTACTGTTCACCCGTGCCACAGATACAAAGTCTTCTTTTAAACTTCGAAGGATAATAACAAATAATAACGCATAAAGTAGTTCAAAAACAACTGAAAAGGTAAACAAATTCCTGTTTGTGCTGTCTATAAGTAAACAAAGATGGAAAATACAAAGATTATAGTGCCCGCTGGATTTACTTCGCTCAAAACCGCATTGCATATTTAGATAAAATGAACATACAAAACTGTATTTCATGGTTGTGTTCTTCCGGCCTTCGTTCGGTGTTCTTCTTATTTATAGTCACCGTGCTTCCGGCCTGTTCTAGCATTGCGTATTGAGCGGCCTCAGGAGCAATTTGTGGACGGGGTGATGACACTGCGGTTTGTCATTTGCTTTTATGGCTATCCAGAGGGCTGTTTCATACCATCGAGGTCGCGCGAGCAATTAGTGGCGTATGCTTCACGTGACGGTAGGGACCAAAAATGATCCAAAGAATGAGATCACGAACTAGAACGAACAACACGAAGGGCAGATAGACACAAAGGCCAGAGTCACTACAGGCGTCCACAGACCACAGCCAAATGCACGCGTGTTAGATATTTGCATAATTAGAGACATAAAAGCCACATCGGAATTCATGTCCGAAAAGAGTCACCAAATGCCTTCTGGATACTCATCAGCTCCGGATAGCCACATTCAGGTACGGTTGAAGTTTACCGGGTACATATCACAGAACCCACCAGGCCCAGATCAGATTTGGTCCCCAGCCTTTTGCGGATTGCTGACTGAGGTAGATTAGCCGGCACTCACTGCATTCAATATCCAACTGGACAGGCACCGGGCACTAAACGGTGCTTGATACACGAACCACGGTCCCCACTTCACGAGTAACACTCACACAGCACGTCAGGCAATTTTTCATAACCACTTGACAAAGGCTTCCCCTCGGCCTTTCCTATTCCCATCAATAAAGAAAGGCACGAACACGGAACAAGCCCTGCACACACACGAACACAAGCGGACACAAAATCCGTGCGCCGACCAGCTTGCCAACATTTCGGTCGCCTGTCGCGCCACACTTTTACAACCGGAGCGACAAATGGACGGGCATTTAGCCACCATGCATCATTGCCACAATTAATCTGGATAGCTGGCATGAATTCAACTCGGGCAAGGCTATGGCGAATTAGGGTGGCGACGAATGGAAGGGCGGCGATAGCGATGGCGGTAAGTCCAACGCTGAGCCATCGAGCCAAAGTGAAGGCCGAAGGACGAGGACGTTCAGGCAATGACGATGACAACAGCTCCGGCCCAGTGGCAACAGCGTTACCGTGTCAGATTGGACCCATCCAATCTGCTCACCCAGGTCCCAGCGTGGCGATTAAATAAAATATGCTAACTATTCTACACATTTAAAAGCAGGCACACGATTGCAAATGAGATCAATGACAATAAACATCCGCTCACCATAAACATCGCACGCTTTTGGGAGTCATCGGGCGTTAGGCACCATCCCTCGGGTCTTATCCATCAGTAAGCTCCAACCTCGCACCGCTTATCGCTCAGTACCCACCTCTCAGATCTTTGGTTCCACCCCCCGGTAGTTCGGTACCCACCTCGCACATCCTCAGGGTTGTCCAGCGGTTTTCCGCTGCCCCAGATGACGGCGAACGCCGCTGTGATGTTGGGCTGTTTGCCCAGGTAGTCGAACTTCATCTCGTCGCAGTAGATGTCGCTGCCCAGCAGCTGGGCAGGCACCGTGGTCACCCGGCCCTCGATGTTGAACTGGCACACGAACCTGTCCTGGGCGATCAGACGCTGTGGATGGTAGAGGGAGGAGGGGTGGTTAGATGGCAGTCCATGGGGGAGAGAGAGAGGGAGAGAGAGGGGAGAGAGAGAGAGAGAGAGAGAGAGAGAGAGAGAGAGAGAGAGAGAGAGAGAGAGAGAGAGAGAGAGAGAGAGAGAGAGAGAGAGAGAGAGAGAGAGAGAGAGAGAGAGAGAGAGAGTGTCGGGAGTCTGCAGTCCACTACAATTCCACAGTAATTCCGCGGTAAAGACGAGAAACCCAGACGGCAATCGATCAGCGTCCCACGGCGGGCCAAAAACACCAGCCGCGGCCACACCACTAATACAGACCTCGCGCGCCGCCATTTCAGGTCATTAATCAGGCCTGAGCCGCGGCTTTGGACGATAGAGCAAACAGCCATTGATGTCTGGGTGCCAGCAGTGGCGGCTTTAGTCCAGTTAGCACCACCAGAACCATTAGCGAAATCCACTCAACACTTCGGCTGGTTTTTAATCACGGATCGCCAATAACTACCACAAACCACCAGTGGCGGCCGCATCCGGGCGCTGACCCCGACCCCGACCCAGGTCACACTCACCGCGATGTTCTCGACCTTGACCTTGATGTTGCGCTTGGTGCCGGAGGGCACCAGGATCTCTGTGGTGCCGTGCGCCGTGGTGTTGATCTTTGGACAGAAGCCGGGCCCGCTGCGAATGCTCGGTCCGATCCGCTGCGGGGCGGATAGGCAACGGTCACAAGTCACAATCTGATTATGGCGGCCAAATGGATATCACAACAGGTGTGCTTAGGACGATCGGTGAGGTCTGGTGGTCTAGCGAAGTAGAGCACAATCGCTTTCAACAAGAGGATGCGACATTTCGTTGTGACGACACACAAATCTTTCCTCTTGCATTTAGTCCCTTGACGATGTCCCTTGTTCACACTTATCTTCAGTCCGGTAACGAGAATACCCCCTGTCCCCTCCCCTTACCTTCAGTCCTGTGATGACAATGTCGTTACGCCTGTCCTCCGCTTACCTTCAGTCCTGTGATGACAATGCGTTACGCCAGTTTCCGTCTTACCTTCAGTGCTGTGATGGCAATGTCGTTACGCTTGTTCCCGTCTTACCTTCAGTCCCGTGACGAGGATGTCGTTGCGGCAGTTCTCGGCCGTGTCGTGCGTACACCGGTGGCCGTCCACACACCAGTCACACGGGAAAGGCGCGCTCACACACTGGCTGCACTGCTGGTACCGGTTGCAGTTGTAGAACTCAAAGTCGGTGGCCACAAAGTCGGGACCGTTCGTCATCCGTACTGACAGCTTCGCCTGGATGTAGTCTGTAGGGCGAGAGAGAAGGGATAGTTAATGAGCTTCGCCTGGATGTAGTCTGAAAGGCGGGAGAGAAGGGAAAGTTAATGAGCTTCGCCTGGATGTAGTCTTAAAGGCGGGAGAGAAGGGATAGTTAGCGGGCCTTGCTTGGATCTAGTATGTAGGGAGAGAGAGAAAAAGGGATATTTAATGAGCTTCGCCTGGGTGCAGTTTATAGGGGGAGAAAAAGAGATAGTTTGACATCAGACCAGAAAAGACACGGTTTACTTTCATCCACACACACTGTCAAGTGTCAACTATCGTCGTCAAAGATTAGAGACATCAAAGAAACATTTTCCTAGCATGTATTATGCAAGCAGTACTCGGCAACGGCATCTTGCAATAGACGAAGTAACAAGCCGTGAATAAACTGACAAACAGTGTGCTGTGGTAATGATAGATGGATGAACGAAATGTGCATAATCGCATCGGACTTTATAAATGTCATGACGCTTTTGGCATTCTGATTCATGTGCACACCAAAAATAATATTCATAGCTAAATTCATGTTAGAAAAATAACGTTTGAATGCAACACCACATGGTTTCCAGCCGTCAACTTCCTGGACTGAAGTATCATCTCACTCAGGAACACCCTCCTGCACCGCACACTTTATTGCCCGCCATTTCAGTGGCGGAACCCTCCAACAAGTTCACCATCATAATAAAAGACTCCAAAGTTGTCTTTATTTGATAACATGTTTTTCCCTACGGCGGAAACTTTGCCAGGGCATTCGGGGTGAGCCGAACCGGCTCGATTAGACGCGCATTACGCAGAAAAGCCCGACGGAAGTTTGGCGGGGGCGGTGCTGAAACAATCTCGAAACAATCTGACCGAGGGTATCACCGGAGAGCGCCGCGGATTTCCTGAGGGGCTGCAGAGGTACACATATGGGAATATCCGCAGAATAGACACCGGAGGACGGAGTGGCACTGTCACCCCAGCGGGGAGTATCAGCGGGGACCGGCACTGGTGCCACCAGCCGACCATAACCAACCCAGTGGCGGGCTGCTGGCATGGTTCGGCAGATCAGGCCACCAAGCCCAAGCCGGTGCCAGCCTACGTCCGCAATCCATCACTCCAACCGTAGACTAACTGGATCAATTCCATAAGACATCCATCTACTCAGGCTGTCCGTTCCAACCAACATTAGTCCCGAGTTTGTTTCTTTTGCTTCAACATGGTGCATCATCAAATCATATTTAAACTGACAGAAAAACAGTTACTTCGGAAAACTTTCTGTTTTCCCAGCCTCTACCACTGAGCAGACCTGTGGCGGCGGGGGTAGCTGGGCTGGACTCAGAGACAAACGATGTGTTACACACGCTGTGACATTCGGCCGGCCCGACTGCCACTCTGCCGCCGCAGCGCCCGACAAACACGACACCAAATTGAATCGGGTCCGGCACACGGGACACGTGCGCCACGTGACGGCCACGTGCCGCGAGCCGCCGCCGTCAGTTCCAGGGGCGTGTGTCGAACGTCCGACCGAGTCTAATCCGACATTAAATAGATGTATATACGGCCCGGAGCTCGAACCGCCCCTGAATGACAATGAAATTGATACTGGGTGGACGGAAACACTTAATGCGAGTCCTGTCCGTCTCGCACACAGGGCGCCCACGGAGGACATGCCGTTCCGAACGGTGGTATTGGCAGCTGCGGGCTCCGCCGACATCCACTCAGCATTGTCCGCTGTGCCAGCCGACAGCCACGGCCCTCGGACAGCCACGGCCCTCGCCTCGGCCCCGCCCACCGCCAGCATTCTCCCAGAGCTTCCGCTGAGCGACAGCCATATTAGGGAAAATGACTCGCAGTGGTTAGAAGCCACTCGAAGGCGAAATGCTTAGATCTATAATAGCAGCAGCTTACGTAAGAGCCATCAACTGCCAAGTTTCCCAAAATGGAAACCTGTTACTCCCACCTAGCTACTGACGGAATTCATGATTCAACACTCGAAGACTTCGTTTCTGTCGCCCCCGTGGCACGACCCAGCCCTCTCTCGTTCTATCACTGGGGAGACACCACGCCCACCACCCATCGGCGTCAGCTCCGGGTGGCCGGGCGGCCCGCCGACCAACTTCCCCGTCTGTCAACACTGGCGCAAAAACAGCGGGACGGATGGCCGGGCCGATCGGTGCCGGCACCAATCCCGGCGGGCGCGACCCGATCGGTCGCCGGCGACGCCCGGCTTGTTTGCCGCTGCCGGAGACGGCCGCGTTTCGATTCGACTCCGCGAGACGAGCTCGTCGGGCCGACGTCTCGAAAACAGACTCGCAGATGGATGGCGGTAACTTTTAGAATAGAGACACACGCTCGGTGAGGGCACTTTTCATTCGGTCGGCAGGTCGGCTCAAGTCTCATACCGATCCTTCGATAGGATGTATGCAGTTGCTAATAAGGACACCAGCCGGGACGTCCTTTCGAGACTATCCCAGAAACATGTCAATGAGCGGTGGACTAATCCTGTCTTGGTCACCCAGCATTACATTTTACCACTTAGAAGGGGCCTAACCGCTCCTCTGCTACCGAGCAGTGGCGGACATCGAGCCCTGAGGTCCGCCCCCGTTGGCGTCTCTCCCCTGCAAGAGTCCTCTTTCCGCATTGTCCTCTTCCCCATCATTCTAACGTCACACTAGCCACTCACACACCGCCTGTGTCGGTCCTCATTTCCCGCCCACCCTGGCCACCAGTTCGGCCACCACACCGCAGCAACCACTCGAGGCCGCTGTCGCGTGCGCACGGCCAATAACCCAGCGCCCGGGAGTCAAGTTGGCCCGTCCAGGGGCCGCCGCCTCCTCCACCCAGCCAGGTGAGCGCTCTGTGACGGGCCAACTTGGCCAATATCGGCCCGGCTGACGGCGCGAGATTAAGATGAGGCCGGCGGCCGAGTGGCGAGGCGGTCCGCCCCGGCGCGGCGCCGCACCGGTGACCCCCCTGACCTGACCGGTACGAATCAATACGGGCCCGGCAACAGATTCCGCCGGCTCCGCGAACTGGGCTGCCACCGGGCTCTGGGGAGGGGCGGCGGCGATATGCATCAGGGTAAACGGATGACGTAAGGTAAGATCGCTCGACCATGGCGCAATAGGTAACGGAAGGACAGATATGCTATCGGTCTTGGTTCATGAGAAACAGCTACACACAACCTACTCAGATCCACCGACTTCTTTGAACTTACAATGGGTATTCAATCATATGGACAACTGAAGTCACCCATTTGCCAACAGGCCACTTGTGATACCAAGCCATGCGTCAATACTGTACTTTAGCACTTCCGCCGGCTCTGAGTAGAGTGGATAGGAATTTAGACCTAGCATCGGCCACTTTTATAACGCAGTCGATTCAGTAAACACCTTCCTTAAAACAATCGCTGCAACCCCATCATCGCCACAATATTTTCTTTTTTCAAACAAACAAGTTTTTGAAGTGGAAGTTACGGTCCAGTCACAGCATTCGTGGAAACTTTTCTCATTAAACAAATTCTACAGCATTTCACATTTCGTTTCTCAGCAGCCGTGTGAGGATATGAACCACCGCCAGCAATCTACAATCTCCCACAAACACTGAGGTGCGGCTACACTATCAACAGCCACACAACATCAAAAGGAACACCTCCGTAATAAACGACATTCCACCAGAGAAGAGACTGTCGAGTCCGACATCCCGCCAGCGCGCAGACAGCACTGTCGAGCCCCACGGACCAGCACACCGTACTGTCGAGTCCGACATCCCGCCGGGACCCAGACAGCACCGTCTAGCCCGCCGCCACGCCGCCGCCGCCGATTACCATATAGATGAGTGCACCGTGTCGTCTGGTGTCAGCCAGCCCCAAGTTCGAGAGCCCAACGAGTGCCCGAACATTCATTACAGGACTCCGGACAAGTGTGGGGAGTCGGTTTGTTCTTTCGAAGTTTACAGGATATGAAGTCGACTCTTATTAAATAGAAGTTGTTAGAGCTTCATGGCTTGTCACTTATCAATGCTTCAATGCTTCTGCTGCTATGCTAATACTACGGACTGCCCTGTCGCGGGCACAATGTCATAGTCTGTCATCGGCACTGAGTGTGTCCTCTGGATGGGGTATAGCAGTAGGACCAGCCACGCTGCAGCTTCTGGTACGCTCAGAAAACAAGCCGTTATGACATACGAGGCGGCAATACGACCATCATACGGTTTGCCAGGCAAACGTCAGGAGGGAGCCTGGCAGGAAGATAGAGAAGAAATGTCAGTCGCTGATGTTATCGGCACAGGCCGTTATCCATTCGGCAAGCACACGGTATCAGGTGGTGAAACCCCATTTTCAAGGCATGTCAGAAGGTATGCGAGTAGTTCATGCTATCTGAGGAAGCCCCTCATATCACACACCAGCTGTCGAATGGCGAGCCACTGTGTCGCCAGCCGTCTAAATCGGTTCACCTCACGAGGCGGCCTCACTCGATGGCAGTCTTCTTGACAGAATGCTCAATTGCTCAGTCCCACACACACCCAAGCGCGCTCAGGTGCTATAACCATCACCTATCATTAATGATTAAACCAGCCGTGACTAGGAGCGCCTAAGACGGACGAGCATCCCTCCCGACCATGCCGGTCAGTGGACAGACCCGTCAGCGGGGTGTTCGCTAAAAATATCCCAGCGACAGCCCGACCCGATCGGCTCTTGGTTCATATTTTAGCGCCGTGGTTCCCTCACAAGGTTCCCAACACCCCTAACCTGTAGGGGTCAGCGGTTCACCCGGTCACCAAGGCCGCTGTTGGTTGGCGACCACTCAGCGACAGTCGCCTGTTAGCCGGGCGACATGATAAACTGCCGGTGGACAGTGGACAGCTAACGACAGCAGCAGCCGGGGGTTCCACAGTTCCCGATAGCTCGGACCGTGCTGACAGCAGAAGCCACCGAGCGTGATAGGGCAGCAGCGCGGCTCCATATATTGGATGAAGTTCACCGCTGCCTGCAACCTCCCCTCCCAGTGATCAATGCTGTGACAAATGACTAGGTCACGACCGGTATGACCACGACTGACGGCAGGAAGGCATAACTGCCGGCACGGCGGCCACACATCATCCTCCGGACGTGTCAGCGCCAGAAGCGAACACGGTCTACTGCGGCGGCCCGCGGTTGGTATTACATGTCTACATCACGGAGGCAAATTAGCTCCGCCCGGGCACATGTCAGTGGAAGTGACATTGGCTCATCGTAACCAGAATAGACACACACGCCGCTCGAAATGCACGCGTCCCAATATAACCACGGCAAACACGGATCAGCGAAGCCTTGTTAAAGCAGCCAGCGCCAGCGGATCATGTAAATCAATAGAGCAAATATTGGAGCACTAACCCGCGCCCTGGTGGGGGGGGGGGGGCTATTTTTTGCCCCCCCTCCAGACTTTTCGATATATCTCCAGAACCGCTGCGCCGATCGTCACCAAACTTTCAGTACCCTCCCGGACATCAATTTTACACATTGTGACCAAAAATTTATCCAAAGGCTATGATAGGTTGGCCGGAAATGACGTCAGAGTGACGTCATGTTCTGCCGTTTTCGACCCAAAAAAGGGTTTCGCGGGAAGAGCTGTCAGGCCTATAGCTTTGCAAATACAGAAAAACGATAAAGACATAAAAGCTGTAGAATCGACAGGGCTACAAAACTGCTATCTCGGATTTTTGAAATTTTTGGATTTTGACCCCCAAAAATCAAAAAATAGATTTTTTGATTATAATAGCCGAAAAATCCAAAAAGTTTTTTGAATTTCGAAAAAACCGGAATATATGTGATAGTCCTTACCGCCTTCTATCTACATACCAAATTTGAGATCGATACCTCTTTTTTTGGCCACGTTACAGCGAAAAAACTGTTCAAAATTGATGACGTCAAATTTTCAAACTCATTTTTTTGCAATTCTAGACCTCGTAGCGCAAAACAAAGACCACCATTAGACTCCCCGTGACGAGCTGCATCGAATCAATACCCATTTTATGCAAAAATATCAACTTTGAAATTTGACCTTTTTTGACCTGACCTTGACCTGACCTCCACCAGAAAGTGGCCTAAGCCGTACCTGACAGTCTTATAACCAACACCATTGAGTTGGAAATGAAAAATTGGCCATAAAACATGCATCGCACAACCTTAGTACCTAAAGTTAGGTTCATATGTGACCTGACCTGTGACCCTTGGTGACCTGACCTGTGACCTGGTAATGTCAGTGACCTCTTATAGCAATATATGTACTAGGCAACTGACGCCCTATCGCTGATTCTCGACAAAATGCGTTTTCTTCGGTGTTATAGCGCATTCCCTAGATGACCCGTAAACGGTGAAACATTTCATCTTTGACCTGACCTGTGACGTCATCGGTGACCCCGAGGTCAATGAAATTTGGTTTCCCTCGACAAATTTGACAGGCCTTTCGAACGCCGTTTGAATTTTGCGGATCCGTCCAGTAGTTTCGGAGATACGAGGGGGGGGGCAAAAAATAGCCCCCCCCCCACCAGGTCGCGTTATAAACAGACCCCACCAGGGCGCGGGCTAATAAGCTGGAGCTATAATAAGGATATTTAGCCGGATCAGATTTAGTCAGAGAGGGCACCTGATTGATGGTTTATACGCCGGCCGAGCTGAGCAGGTGCAGCAGCTCTCTAAGAGCACTGCAGTTTTCTGGAAGGCGTAATTGAAACACAAATAGCCGTGTTACCAACAGCACGTTAGGAACACCGAGCCAAGTTGGAACCGAATCACCAAGGGTGGTTACCAGACTGGGCCTGCCATCGCCTCGCCTCTATGTCAGTCTCCAGCGCATCGAGAGCCCCATCTTCGAGTAGCTCCCAAACTCGCGGCAGCCAATCATCTCACCAATCACTTCTGAAAGTTTAACTCCTGGAGTAGCTTCTTAAACAGCTTCAGTGTGTCTACCATACAGACATATTTACTATTATAGAGACTGAAATAAAAGTTAAGTATAAAAAGAAAACAGAAGCTAGCGCACTGAGCCGGGTCCTTCTTTGAGCATTTCTCAGCATGGTTCTCGTGCGATGTGCGGTGCATGTAGTGCACAGTGCCCTCCCCCCCTACTCATGCTGTCCTGAGGGTATCTGCAGCAGCAGGTCGGTCCACCCCTCCCCTGCCCCCCTACTCTCGTTGTCCAGAGGGGAAGAGTCTGTGTCCCTGTCCTTTCCCCCGGTTCACTCACGCTGCCCGGAGGGTATCTGCAGCAGGTCGGTCCACCCCCTCCCTTGCCCCCTAGTTACTCTCATTGTCCAGAGGGGATGAGTCTGTTTCCCTGTCCTTTCCCCCGGTTCACTCACGCTGCCCGGAGGGTATCTGCAGCAGCAGATCGGTCCACCCCCAGTCCCCTGCCGCCCTACTCTCATTATCCAGAGGGGATGAGTCTGTGTCCCTGTCCCCCTCCATACTCACGCTGCCCGGAGGGTATCTGCAGCAGCAGATCAGTCCGCGGCGTGGTGCACATCAATGTATCCGGTCCCGTCTTTGTGGCGTTGGTGATGAGCGTCTTGCCCATCAGTGTGAAGGCGCAGAGGAAGCCGCCCGACTGCTGCACGTTCGGCAGGTTGTTGATGGTCAGCGTCAGCTGTAACAGGGCCAGGGAGATGGTCAGAGCCGGCGGACCGAGTGAAGCGGAGAGGTGAGAGCAGATGTTAGGTGCCGGGCGCTGAAACGTCTCGAGAAACGCGACGCGGAGTTAAACGAGGATAGCATTGTTCGTGAAACAGAAGACTATAGCACTCGGCTCATGAATTCGGTCAATACATTTTCGAAACACCACCCATCCCAACTTTGAGATTGGGCAAATGTAATTGTCAGTGGTAGGTAGGTGTGGTGATAGCCTACAAGACCCGGCGGAAGACGACTTTGGCCTCAACTTCCGGAGGCCCACGGTGACTCATTCCCAAACTCCTTCACATCAGCATACCAAGCAAGCACGCCACGCCTGTCGGCATCTGTTCAGTCCATCACGGAACCTTCTGCACTCTACAGCCCACATGGATCGTCACGTAACACCGCATTCCTGGCCCACACGGACCGTCACGTAACACCATACCACCAACATTCCTAGTTCAGATGGATCATACCGCCACACCACCCGCATCTCCATTCCACTTGAACCATCCCATACATACCACCACATTCTTAACACACCGCCCCCTACCACCAACACGTGTCGAGCCCACAGACCTCTCCCAGCCGTGTCTGGCCAGACGCCGATCCTTACGAGCCCCGCTGCAGGGGTGTGGGAAGGCACCAGCTGTGGCGCCCCGGTCAGCGCACAGCCGATTGGCCAACATAATTAGTCCGAGCTGTCATAATGCGGACGGCATAATCGGTAATTAGACACACTTCACGGGCCACCCCATAGACCACATCATTCGTCATTGGGAGGGATGAATGGGAGTGGATACAATTGTTAATATCGCACAGCTGTTCTATATGATAGGAGCTCTCGGCAGCGAAAGTGGCGAGCCGCTGCGAATGATAGATGTTGTGTAGTTAATGGGTGTGCCTGTATTTGTAACGTAAAGGGTCAGACAGCACAGGCCACGGCGGGCCTTCGCTGCTGCTGCCCCCACCAGACGCGGCGGTGGGTCTTCGCTGCTGCTGCCCCCGCCAGCCGCGGCGCGCAACAGATGTGGGCGAGTCGACCGACAAGTCAATAACGGGGCAGAACAGGCAGTCGGTCGGTCTGTCGGTCGGTCAGCCTGGGTAACTGGGGAAGAACCACTGCCCCAGGAGAGTCAGAAAAGAGGTGGAATAAGCAATATGTGTGGAGGCAGGGGAGCTACGGTAGGATAGGACTAGGAGAGGCTGTAGAATCATCGAAGGAGCGAATATGATGGAGAGTTGATCTTCCAAAGCCTAATCGGATTCCAGTCTGCTTCAAAAAAGTACTTTTTGCAAGCGCGTTAAAAGGTAGTCGCAGTGACAGCGATCAGTGATCTAGCTTATCAAGAACAAAATTCACGGACCGGAAGCCAGCAGCGGGGAGTAGTAGCAGCAGGCGCTATCAGCGGCATAGCATTAGCAGCCGCGGCTGGACACAGTCGTCGGATTGATGAGGGAGGCGGGCAGGCCGAGCAACCATGAATCCGCCCAGCTGGGCCCCGCGGCCGCCACCTCTCATTGTCGCCATGGCAACCGTAATCGGCAACAAACACCATGGCAAAAACAGCTAATCACCCCATCATCACGCCATTTTTGCACCAGCTTATTAACTAAGCGATGGGATTTAAACTGACCCTGACCAGCCATTGCCACCTGGACCTCACAGAGTTCATTCAGAGTGGCCGGGCCCGGCGGGTCGCCGCACCCACTACCCGACCTCTGCAGGTGCATATTCCACCGGCGACCGGTCGCACCTGGCACTCCCGGCCGTCGCCAGTGATTGATCATGTGGCATCGCGCGCCGAGAATGGGCCCGGCAGGATAATGGGCACTTGGTGCGATGACCGGCGAGGTGGCTAGTGTAGCAGCAGCCGGGGCCGGGGCCGGCGCCCGCGGCCGCCAACCTCCTCTGTTTGCTGCCGCGCAGCCGTGAGCACCCGCTCTTGATCGAGCACTTTTTGCAACGGCCTGCGCCCGAGAGTAGCGTTTTTCAGAGAAAATCCGCCGCCGAGGCGAGCTGTTTTCGGCGTCCGAGAGGCACTAATTAAAGAACATAGAGCCGGGTGCGCCCACTTGGGCGCGAGGGCACAACAGCGGCGAGAGAAGCCGCGAGAGCCGTGCCAAATTCGAAACCCGACGAGACAGTGATGTAAAACAGGGCTGGTAGCCCGGCGGCCTGGAATAGGAACGTCCGCTGGCGGTTGCAGTGGAAACTGCAGTATATTGAACGGCTAGGAGTTATGAAACACACTGAAAAAATAAATGAAAATGCCTATAGTAAAAACCAACAATACTGCATTAGCTTCCAGGCAACCAGACCAGAACAGTCAACAACACTCGCAAAATAAGAATAAAACTATTTCCTACAACACTTCTCGTCGACAGGCAATCAACACTCGAGCCTCGCCGACCCCACATCCTCGGCTCTCATTTGCTCCCCACTACGACATAATATCGTGCTGCTGCGTGGCATAGTGATGAACCGCGCCACTGAACGGCTGGGCTGGGAGAACTGGGAGAACGACTCGCCCGTTGCCGTGGCGAATCAGAGGCGCTGGGTGGGGGACGTGGGTGACATCGGGCTCCCGTGCTGGCTATCAGAGACAGCTGCTGCCAAAACATGGCCCGAATCACCACTGCCGGCGGTGGCAACAGCGTGGGACGGCACGACGGTCATGGGGTCATGGCCGTCCCGAGAATAAGTCAAGAACAGCCGTTCGCATATTGAGGAAAGGAACAGACAAATGGAAAGGCGTGCAGTACCAATTTGGAATGTTTTGAGTCATGGTCATGATATCCTATTCGACAATCGAGACATGAACATCTCAATTCGAGATATGTGTGAGAGGGATGCGACATACAAATGATTCAGGATGCGGTAGGGTCGACGTTTCTTCATCCCTGATAAAATCTAACCCAAATGATGCACCTTTGAACGGCAGTTCGGATGCCTTTCAAAGCCGAGTTAGAGCCGCTGGTCACCGACCGTCCTGGCCGTGGTGGCCTGTAATTACCCATACTGACCGTCCTAGCGGTGGTGGCACAGACTCCCCATACTGACCGTCCTGGCCGTGGTGGCCTGCAGCTGGTGTGGCGACACCGACTCGATGGTCGTACACCGGTCCGACTTGTAGTTGATCCAGTAGAGCACGTCCTTGGCCGCGTCCTGGCAGTCGCTGCGGATGCTGCATCTGAAACGGTAAGAACGGGGAGCGTCAGTTGTGAATGCTAACAATATAGGATGAAAACAGGCTGACAGAAATTCTCTTCGATCGAATCTATCCTGCTAGTAAGCAACATGAGGAGATGTTTAGTATGGTGCGACTAGTAAAAACGAACATGACATAGATTCGCCACATGCTATATGTTACATAAAACAGCACACTCATCAGTCCACGCACGGCACTCTGGCCTACAGCACAAGCCAGTCGACGCAGTAAGGCCGAATATGTTTTCCCACAGCACACGCCGGCCGGCCCGCTGAGCCACGGGTGCCACCCAGCCCCCACGTGCCACGTGGTGCCACCCAGGGCGCCGACAGCTCCGAGAGACGCCGACAGTGCTGTCGGCGACAGGCCGTCACACCCAAACACACAAACAGCTGGGCCGGAACGAGAGACGCGCCGGCCGAGACGTCCACACACAACAGAACTGTCGGGGGGTGGGTGGGAGGAGCCGGAAGAAGAAGAAGAAGAGAGGGAGAGGGAGAGGGAGAGGGAGAGGGAGAGGGAGAGGAAGAGGGGGAGGGAGAGGGAGAGGGAGAGGGAGAGGGAGAGGGAGAGGGAGAGGGAGAGGGAGAGGGAGAGGGAGAGGGAGAGGGAGAGGGAGAGGGAGAGGGAGAGGGAGAGGGAGAGGGAGAGGGAGAGGGAGAGAGAGAGAGAGAGAGAGAGAGAGAGAGAGAGAGAGAGAGAGAGAGAGAGAGAGAGAGAGAGAGAGAGAGAGAGAGAGAGAGAGAGAGAGAGAAAGGGAGAAAGGAGGGAGGGAGGGAGAAGTGTAAGAGTTCAGAAAAGAGGTGGGGATATAGGTAAGCGCAAATCGTGAAATGTTCTTCCGAAGTAAGCATATGTTCGAGAAGTTGACAACGGCAATAAATAAAAGGTTTAATACAGCATTAACACTGATAAAGATAGTGGCCAAATAGCACAGTCTTTTCATTTAGAGCACCAGTACATTCCCCCAACCTTGTCACTGGGTCAAAACCAAGCAGGAATAGGGCAAGGAGCCACACCATTAAAAGCATACACGAGCGGTCGTCCCTAGCTGTATAACCTCACGTGCACGTCCCTCAGTACGGCCAATACAAGCATCTCCAGCGAACCCTAACGACAGGTTATGAAACAGCAGCAATCAAGCAGCCGCCTATAAATCGAGGCCGTAAAATCTACACACTAATTCGTGACAGATTATCGATACTGCTAACGGCCCGCCGGACGCCACTAAATCAAACAGCGTCATCGAGATATCGGTTAAAATATCAACCGGACTGTATATACCGGGAGCTGGAGTTTGCTAGTTTTGCCATTACCCGCCCCAGGCGTTCCGGGCCACTAGTCCTGCGCGCCCGCCGACCTCTCCGCGGCTCGTCTGGTTTATCGAGGGCTCGTCCCCGAACCAGGCCGGTAGTTAATCCGACTCGACCTCCCGGCCGAACTTGGTCCATCGGCAGTGGCTGAAACTAACAGCCCGTGGCGGCGGAGGGTCCCCGGCCGGCGGCCCCGGCGTCTTCTGGTGACCTCAGGCGGCCCTGTCGTCTTCGGCCGACCCCGGGCGGTACATCCGTCCCAGACAGACGGACTCGGGACCACGTCAGCCGCCGGTCATCACTCCCGACCGCAGTCGTAAAAAGGCGACACCGACTGCCGAGACCGCGGCTCCACAGCTGCCCCATCAACGCGATCACGGCCTGTCTATCAACCAGGCTGGGGCACAGTGGCATTCAGGAGACATCATACTGACATAAACATCAACATCGTCAAGACATCAGCAGGCCACAGTATGTAGTCACCAGACCTACAGTCAACTGCATCCACGTGCGACAGAGATCAGCACACATACGCTGTAGCCGAGTAGCAGCACCGCGGCAGTGCGGGGCGATCAATGCCCCATCGGAGACGGAGGGAGGCACATGGAAGTCAGCTTCCTCCTCCCCATTTGTCCTCATAGGTGAGTCGCGCGGCCTTCCCCAGGGGAGCTCGGGGAATGGTGCTGCATTAGGCGCCGCTCACCGCGCCGAGACCCCGCGCGGGAGAGCGGGCAAAGGGGTGGGAGGCCAAGGGACGACCGACCGCGGCACGCGGCGCCACTCATCACACGGAGCAGAGGATGGTGGGCTATATTGACAGTCAGCTAAATTATGAAGGCGAGTTGACGGGCGAATGAATGGAGAAATTAATGAGCGAGCCAGCCAATGCGTGAATGAATTTGTTAATGAATAGTCAAGTGCATTGAGCTTGAAGCACCAATACAGACCAGACCAGATCATTAGCAGTTGCATCCTCATAGCTGAAAAGGGTTCGACGATCGCGAGGACGTACGAGGGCACAGTTTTCAGTTTCAGTCACGACCACTGAGGAGCGGGGCGGGGAGGGGGCGGGGACCTGTCCAAGGGCGGCGATGCATCAAACATTTACATGTTATTGGATGTTTTGTGCCGTCCTCGTGTCCAACGGACGGCCCCGGGCGGCGCGTGTCGCCGGAGACAGGTCGGTATGAGGGCCGAACCAGCGGCCGGACGGCCAAATGAGAAACCGGAAGGCGAAATTCTGGGCTCCAACGACCCCGAGCCAACGTCGATATCGTGGCCAAAGCGCAGCGCCTTAAATACAGCAGCGATGCTATCCCTAACAGCCATCGGTCTGTCCCGACCAAACGACAATAACAAACGACTCGGCAAGACGTACGGCCCTAATAATGACTATTACTCCCATAACTCCATCGGCTCGACAGGATCGCAATTCGACTCTATGAGTCACAGTTGATTGCATCGGCGTGCCATCGATTCCGGTCCGGCCGGCTGGGGACTGGGCACGTACGCACGGTTATTTACTGTGGACGTAACGGGACATCGGACTGCAATGAACCGCCACTGCGGCTCGTGCGGACCGCGTCCTTCCGCGTCTGTGCCCCCCGGAGACCCATTTCGCTGTCCATGGCCCGCCCATTGACCCAGTGAGGCGGCTGTGCTGGTGTCGACCGCACGCCGACGGTAGCCGCCACTGACCGGTGCGCACGGCGCGGCGGCACGTCGCTCTCGACGCGGCCCTGCCGGCGCCGCCGCTATCGACGACCTGCGACTGGCGCCGCCAGGTCGGAGGGGGTACAGGGGTCAGGGCGCGGCCGGCCCCGCCTGTCCGACACGGGGCTCGAGTGCCGACATGACAGCTACGACGGCCGACGGAAGACGTCTGCACGAGGAGACAGCATGCAAGGCGGCCACCGGGTCCGCAGCTTGTAGTTATGGTATTGAACGGAAAGACAACACCGCCGGTGGACAGCTACATTTTTGTCAACATGCAGACAACTGAAGACAAAACGGCCTCACTCAAAAAGAACCTGTAAATAAGACAAAGTAGATAGTAGGATGAAATTGCTTCGTGACATTAAAAGCAGCGTTTAAGGTACGTTTCAGATGAAGACAGATGAGCTGCTGGGAGCAGATGTGCCAATAATTCAATAATTCATCAGTTCCAGGCGGCGACTTAATTCGATAAACGAGTGCGGCCGTCGGATTTCGGAGTGATTTCAGGGACGGCGTCTCGGCGTCTGGGTGAGGTGTAATATCCGGTGTCTGTCGCTCTGGGCGTCGGTCGGCGGCCGTCTGTCTCCGACTGCTGTCCGAGGCGCGGGCACCGTCAGTCACCACCCTAGGAGCTACCGGCACCGCGCTGCTGCCACCGCCGCCAGCGCCGGTAGGTACTCTTGTCTCATGTGATGAGGGCGCCGGCGCACTGCCCTCACCAGCGCGGTCCCCTTTCACTCGAAACCAATGCCGCCTGTATCGTCACCATTTGCTCACCAGAACACCATCCACCCCCGCATTCGGCTCTAAAGTCTTCATCGCAGGGCCTTGCGTTCAAAGCACACTCAGAATCACATCAAGTGGTCATCAAGTCCACATCACACCTAATGGTCACCCCATACGACCTTCACGCTCAATCTTACAAAGCTCTCAGACTCACCCACACACACATCCCAGTCCACCCCCACACGGCCCCAGATCCACCCCCACACAGCTCCCAAAACTCACCCCCACACAACCCCCAGCCAACCCCACATAACTCTAAATCCACCCCACACTCCCCCGGGTCCGCCCACTCACCACCCCCGGTCACGTCCGTCCAAACTGCGTCGTTTCCTGCCGCTCAGTTGTCAGCTCCTGAGCGTCTGTGATGAATCGACAGCAGACACGACCGTCTGACCTGAAATCGGCGCCGCGGAGGGCTGCAGCCCGGCCGCATAGCTCCCAGCTGTCTGCGCGGTGCACCGCGCGCTGACGGCCCGCAAATGGCTCCAATTATTAGCGCATGTCACACTGATCAGACCGACAATTGGCCCATCTCAGCCTGGATTCATCGCCGTAAGCGCTGCAGAAGTTCAAAGATCGCCCGCCGTCGAGCTGATTGTGGCCTCCCAAATAGACTGGCTTTATTCACCAGCAGTCTGCAGCGCATTTCAGTCTCGCTCTCTTTTCTCGCAGTGCAGATGAGCCTTGCACGCGGCGGTGGATTCAATTCCACGGGAGTTGAGCACCGCTCCCGGGCAAACCGCCGACAAACTTCCAAACAGTCCTCGCCGAGTTGGGCCGACACACGAGTTAGTGTTTCAGTTAGAGAGGCATACACATGCAGGCAGACAGGCACACAGACACACAGCGGACAGACAGACAGACAGACACACAGCGGACAGACAGACAGACAGACAGACAGACACACAGCGGACGGACAGACAGACAGACTGGCTGCTGGGAAATGGCGCAGAAATCAGTCACCACGCCAACTGTCCTGATCTAGCAGCGATATTACAGTCCAGACGAATACAATATTAGATGGTTTGATACACATCTGTGACCTGGGATATATGGCGGAGTTTGTTGAAAATCTCGCATGGAAATATAACAGTCTGCATAAAGGAAACTTTTACCCGGAATCGGGTTTACAGAAACGTTAAAAGCGAACGGAAGCATCCATATTCCGAAACATCGCATAAGCAATATTGCCAGATACATAAAAGTCTACATCACTATCTCGCGTCTTTTCTTTCAGTCGCCAGTAAATGTTTCCGTTAACATATAATTGGAGGTTCAAGACCAAACACTCGCAAAATTTTGTAAAGCAAAATAAAATAGTGGACCGGTTCACCCACTGGTAAGCAGAGTGAATAATATGGTGGTAAGCAATATGATCTGACAATACAGAAAAGTACTTACTTATTCTCGAGCGAGCACCATCCGCAGTAGGGGTCTCGCGCCCCCAGACACTCTGAACACGTGGTGTACTGGTGACACTCCTGGACCTTGACCTTGGAGACCTGGCGGCACACAGACAGACAAACATCGGTCAGCTATTCAGTCAGACGGTGACAGACAGACGACCAAAGCAGGCCAGTTATTGGGTCAGCCGTGAAAAACAGACACACAACGCGGGGAGCTATTCAGTCAGCAGCAGAAAAAAACAGCCCATTGACCTCAATGAGTTGACCGAAAATGGCGACAGCAAACATACAGGGTAGACAAAATAATCCGCAAGTTAGCAGTATCGCCTAACCAATGGATAAAGCCAAACTGCACAGCTAGCCGATCACCCCCCCCCCCCCAAACACACACACACACACAAAGGAGCGACACTAAGGTCGATTCCCACCACATCACAAAGACGCGTCGTTGAGCGCCCAGTCCATTGAAGTTCCACCACTATGCACCGTTCCATCGCATACAGCGTCCCACCACTGTGACATCGATCATAGTTCCGGGTCCGCGACCCGGCAGCGCACGCACAGCGGCGAGCCTGACACACGCATATCTCAGCCTGGGGTCCGCGGCGGCCCTGAACGATGTCGCCCATCACGGCCATGGCGGATAGTGGATGGCCGCCGTCCGCTGTCGGGCGGGGAACACTCGGTCGTACCGCGGCACCTGCGACAGTCCACCGGTGACAGTTCACCGGGGACCGTCCGTCGTCGACTGTGTAGCGTCCACTGTCCGCCTTCCACTGTCCACATTCCACAGTCCACCGCCTACCGTCGACCGTTCACTGTCCGCTGTCCAGCGTCCACCGGCTTCGTCCACCAGTGATCCTCCATAGGGAGCGTCATACATCAGCTTCCGCGCCCGCCGCGTCACCCTTCGCTTTTTGTGTGGTTGATAGCATTGGACGAGGACGAAGGTTCATCCCAACTCTACAGTCGGTAACCAAGCTCTTCCGTAAATGGAGAGCCAGGACATAACAGGCGAGTGATGCATCTGGTGATGTCCGTTTGGATCGGTTCCGTCAATGCATTGGCATCCATTCTGGCATCCGTCATTCCACGGCACATCTCTATAGGCTCCGAAACCGCGGAGTAATTGAAGGAGAAAGATGAGGATCGTCCTGATGGAAGGCACGTCAGGGAAGGCGCTGAAAGGCGGTAGAAGAGACCCATCGGGTTGTGGAGAGAGATATGTGAGGATGGAACCGCCCAGCTGAATGAGGAGAAATGAAAAACGGAAATCCATCAGAGCACTGATGTGGTGGAAGAATTTCTACTCAACTCTGCGAGAACCAGTTAGACATTTTTGGACGTATGGAATGACACCAATTGAAGCGAAACGCTAGCCAAGCCTTGTCGGAATCCCCCCCTCCCAACCCGCAGGATTCTCCAGGGTTCCGCATGCGGCAGGACAAGGAAGCTGTCCTCTCCAGCCGTCGCGTTCCACAGGATAGGAAGGAACTGCGACCAGCAGGATAGGCAGCTGCCGCAGCTCGCAGGTTAAGGAAGCTGCCACGGCCCACAGGGTAAGGCAACTGCCGCGGCACGCAGCGCAACGAGTTTCAGCAGTCTCCCAGAGCCACCACGAAGGATAATGGGCTACTGCGGTCCTCAGGATAAGAAGCTGTCGCAGTCTCATAGGTGAGCGAGCCCCGCGATGACGGGCGGCTCGAGTCCCGGGCCCATCCATCGCGACACTCTACGGAGTCCGCCAGCGACTACACGGCAGCCAGTGTCGACTAAATCACAGACACATAGAGGGAGCGAGCACCCGAGCGCCACTGTAGTAAGGGACAGTGCGGTACACTGGACTGGGAAGAGCATTTCATACGTCTTTGTGTGAACAGTGAACACCCCTCAGGAGGGATGACATGACTGGGATGCTCGCTAAGATTAGGCGACTGACGTTCGGCAGTGACGTGGTCAAATCCAAAGTTGAGGAGATGACACAGAAACCAGATCTGCGGCTTACAAGTGAAGTGATGGTTCTAAGACACAAATAGGTTCCTTGCTAACCTAATCCACTATACGTTATTAGTTGAACCGTTCGTTTTTTTTAACGGTTTTTTTTTGCGACGCTAGCAGAGCACACGTTTGCAACCCATGGGTACTGCGATCTACACGTTTTAACGATGATTTAGGGCCGTTCGCGATGCCTTCCCCAAAATTTCCGGAGCAGAGTGCAGTCTGTAGCCATACATTGGATAGCCGTTTCACGGTTGGCTATGTCTGATGCAGTTAACTCTATGGCCAGACGGAATTCATCATTGCTGACTATAAATCCACCCATCGAGACCCGAAAAGTTGCAGTTCCAAATGGCTTCCAAGAAGGCATTTAAAACTCCAACATCTTTCCGTAGTTGACACTGACCTTGTCAACTGGTCAGCAAAATTTTTAATAACCAGTGCAGTTAGTTGGTGTGCCTATCAAATTCATAACCATTCTCAAACAATTGGTAGCATAAAAAGCGAAACATCTCCCATCCACGCAGGGAAGTCTGCTCAACAAATCGCCTCTTCTCCCCACCATCTAGTCGGTTGCTTTCTCTGCACATTTTGGACAGGAGAACGGAGCGTTCCAATTGTGTTTGGGCCGGAGCCGGCGCGGTCAGCGGCCACCGATCTATCGGCCTTGTTAGCCGCCGAGCTGCTACTGCCGTCCACGAAGAGGGGGGCCGTACCCGCTCCGTCCGCCCACCAGCCACCGGGACGCTCCGGACTCCTTTTTACGAGGCCCAGATACGCAGCTGCCCCATAAGCACCCGAGATTGGCTCGACGCTGTTCAAAATGGAAAGACATCAATACCAATCAACGCATAATCCACGTTTATAGGCATCTTAACCCGGTGGGCGCACAAAGACAGCCCGTTTTAACGGGCAAGCCACACACGGAAACGAAATGGCAGAGGATGATGAGTTAACTTATGCTGTAAAACGCATCATAAATTTGAATACATCCACTAAAACTGATTACACCGTGCTCAACGTCCGTAGATTCAATCAAACCTAGATGGCTGGCTATCGTCTTTTGTGACAAATTCAAACCGATACCGTTGCGAGTTTAATGTCGCGCACGTTTCGACAAAGCCCCACGGATCGGTAGGCGTCTCGGCGCCGTCCCGGGCAGTGCCCCGTGCCCAGGTCCGCCCTTCAGTGACGGATGACGGCGCCGGCCGCGGCTGACGTCTGAGATGACACATGTTCCGCGGACAATTCGCCCCAACATTGCAGCCGCCCATGACCGCTCTTCCGTCCACGTCATCATTCACTGTCGGCGCCGCGGGGAATGGCAAGTACTCTTCCTCGGACCGCAGGAAAGGCAGCCGGGTCTCTGAGCCAAACACCCCCCATCTGCCGAGCCAAACAGGGAGAATAATAGCCACCACCCACACTCGCTGCTGGATGCATTGGCGAACAAATACGGGCACCGTATCGGCCCACCCGTATGCCCGCGCACCGGTACACTAGATCACCTCCTCCCTGAGACGCTCGCCGCTCTGCCGGCGCCCGACACGTGTTTGTGTACGTGTGTGGGCCGGCCGAACGCCCTCGCAGCGGTCACACCGGGATTAATTGCACGCCAAGCGTCACCGAAATGAGCTCTGCAGGAAATACGACCGCCGGATAATTAATCGATAGCCAAACGGCGCGGCGGCCGCGGTCGGCGGCGCTGGGGAACCGTCTGAGCCGCCCGCGCGGTGACCGAGGGATGGCTGGGTCGAGCTGGAGGGTAAGGCACCGGGCGCGCGGGGGCGTGGGAGAGACTGGGATGAGGTGGTCGGTGAGAATAAAGATGGAAGCTGCATGAGATATACATGGGATGGTGGGTGATTGGCAATCATGTGGAGGTGGACTATCAATCGTGATAAAGCTGGAAATGATACTGGATAACGGCTAGAGAGAGAAGATAGAGAGAGAGAGAGAGAGAGAGAGAGAGAGAGAGAGAGAGAGAGAGAGAGAGAGAGAGAGAGAGAGAGAGAGAGAGAGAGAGAGAGAGAGAGAGAGAGAGAGAGAGAGAGAGAGAGAGCTCGGCGGATCGTGACCGGAGTGGCCCGCTCGCAGGCTAGCGCTGTCGTTCCCCGTCGTTAGCCAAAACCGTCGTGCCGGCGCCCACTCAGAGCCTAGATCAGAGACGGGTGGATCCGCTGCGGCACACGCACCGCCTCTTCACTGGCCGATCAGCCGGTATCTGATCACAGGCACCAGACCAGTTCGGCAACTGTCCATACTCGACACACAGAGACATAATTGAGGCTGGTCGGAGGAGGAGCGCTGCCACTGTACACTCACAGCCAGCCCGAGGGCGCGGTGTCCGAGGCCTGGGCTTTACCGTATGCAGGGCACGGATCGCCGCCCATCATTGATCAGTGATTCGGATGGCCCCAACCACCGAACGCTTACCAACGTCTCAATGCATTTATTCATTGAATATGTGACGGATCCACATCGCACTGACCGCAGCACAGTCGGCGCCGACTGCCAATTCATCGCGCCTTATACAGCGCCGGTGCTTGTGGGCTAACTGATGTTCAAACACAGGTCTTTGGAAGCAGATGGCGAGCATTTGCAAGTGCAGACCTTTTTGCCAAACATTTACCTGTCGATTTACCAATCCACTAATCATGCAGCATAGTTCCTTAACAGCAGTCGCGATAGATCGTACATGAACCCATCACACACACATTACACGGAGAACCACGAGGAAACTAGCTCCTGAATCAGCGCGACTTGAGCACGACACAGGGCAACGAGGTGGTGCGTCAGCAAACGGGTTTTTGGCGGAGCTAAGCACGCGACGAGCACAGCCGCGCACTGTCCGCGGCGGCATGTCGCCCGAGTGCCTCTAGCTATCCCCGCGACGGGCTCAGGCGATACGATATGATCTGAACACGCGTCTGGCGGAACTGTTCGACACAGGCAACTCTTCCGGTGACGTTTGCTCGGCAGATAGCCGATCACAATCAGGCCAGGGCGGGTGGTGATGCAACCGAGGCGAGCTCAGCTGGACAACGATCGGAGCGGACATCACAAAACGGGTAGGCGGGCAGGTTCCATCCTTACGC